AGGGTTTTCTCAGGGGTTCTCGGGTGGGTTATGGGGGGGAGTGTCGGATTGAGGAAAGACTAGGGTTTGGGGTTTAGGGTTTTCTATTCAGAAGCACCTTGAGAACGTCTTCAGTACAGCCTACAACAAGGAGGTTGCGGGTCCTAAGCCCTAAGCCCTAAAGCCTAAAACCCTAAACCTTGACGGTCTTCTTGCATGCATGAGGGCGACTTGGTGTCACCAAGCGCAACGAACGAACGAACACCCTAAAGCCTGAACCCTGAACCGTCTACTTGGAGGTTCATGGGTAGCTCTGAGTAGGGTTCGCGGTATAGCAACTCTACGTGTAACCCTATATACGTAGAGTACATATAACCCTACTTGTAAGGACCCAAGAGTTTAGTACCTGTACCTATAACCCTACTTAGGCTACTTAGAACCCTACTTGCATGTTCGCACCCATGAACCTCCAGGCACTTCAAAAGCCTAAACCCTAAACCCGAAACCCTAAACCCTAAACCCTAAACCCTAAACCCTAAACCCTAAACCCTAAACCCTAAACCCTAAACCCTAAACCCTAAACCCTAAACCGTGACGAGCCGCCCCTGAGCATCGAGGAGCTCCATGGTGTTGAGGCCGAAAGGGCGCACACGGAAGGCTTTGGGCTTGGAGGGCGTCGAATCCTAAGGGGTTTGGAGGGCTTGGGGCCCGCGAGGGCTGTTGAGGGTGTAGGGTTTCAAGGCTTTTAGGGCTTGTCGGATCCCAGGGATCGTTTCTTTTTTTGTTTTTGCGTGCTGAGATGTCAGACTTTCGCGCGTCGAAGTACCTTAGACGATATCCTTCCAAGCCTCCTACACCACGTAATCCCCCAGAACCAAAACAGGAACATCCTCAAGCCTTAAACCTCCCAAAACCACTGCTGCACACGGCTCCAAGAGGAAGTGGCCCGTGTGCCAAAGCGTAACCGGGATGGACGAGGACTTGGTGAAGGCCGAGAGGTTGTGATGGCCCACCACCTCGCTCCGGGCTCAGGGCTTTCTGGGGCCACAAAATGCAAGGGGCTCAGGGTTTGAGGTTTGGGGGCGGGTTAGGCTCTTTAGGGGGGTTTTGGGCGGGCTTCGAGCTTAGGGGGGTTTAGGGGGGTTTTAGGGGGGCTTGGGGGGCAAAGGTTCAGGGTTTGATGTTTCGGGTTCAAGGGTTACCGGTTCGAGGAGATTAGGGTTCAGGGTTTAGGGTTTAGGGTTTAGAGCTTAGGGTTTAGGGTTTAGGGCTTAGGGTCTAGGGTTTAGGGTTTAGGGCTTAGGGCTTGGGGCTTGGGGCTTGGGGCTTAGGGCTTAAGGCTTAGAGTTTAGGGCCCTATCCGCACCGTGAGGATCAGCTTGCCGGACTCTTGCGACACGTCCTCGATCAATCTGGGCACTCCCTGGACCAGGCCCCCGGTCCTGCGGTCTAGGGCTTGGGGTTTAGGGTTTAGGGTTTAGGGTTTAGGGTTTAGGGTTTAGGGTTTAGGGTTTAGGGTTTAGGGTTTAGGGTTTAGGGTTAGGGTTTAGGGTTTAGGGTTTAGGTTTAGGGTTTAGGGTTTAGGGTTTAGGGTTTAGGGTTTAGGGTTTAGGGTTTAGGGTTTAGGGTTTAGGGTTTAGGGTTTAGGGTTTAGGGTTTAGGGTTTAGGGTTTAGGGTTTAGGGTTTAGGGTTTAGGGTTTAGGGTTTAGGGTTTAGGGTTTAGGGTTTAGGGTTTAGGGTTTAGGGTTTAGGCATTAGGGTTTTGGGTTTGTGTTTTTGGGTTAAAGGGTTGAGGCTTAGGGCATAGGGTGTGTCAGGAGAGGGCGCGCGCTCGGGTGTCAAATGCACTGTTGCTTGCCAACCCAGTTTGTGAATTGAGCTCTTTCGTGCGCCGATGCGCGCTTCTCTTTGTTGAAGCCACGCCTCTGGTCTGGGCTTCGGAAAGGGGTAGCCGGGCTCAAACCCTAAAGCCTTCTCTCTAAACCCTAAACCCTAAAGCCACAAACCAAGTTCATGTTCCTTGTCGGCCCTTTTCGGGCCTTCGGCGTTTTTTGGGTCCAGTGAGTGTCCAATTCACAACGGGAGAGTTTTCAATAAATCCTAAATCCGAAGTCCTAAATCTTAAACCCTGAATACTAACCCGACTCCTAAATCCCAAATCCTGATACTACATGCCAACAAGTGATGGGGGGACACCAGGATTTGGTTTGACCAATAGCAAAAAAGCGATTCTTAACACAGAAATAGATGGCTCTTGGGATACTTCCAATTCTGGACCTGGGCACCCAGAATCGTGACCATACATCCGAAACCCGATCCTAAATCCAAAATCCTGAATCATACATCCTAAGCCCGAATCCTAAATCCTAAATCCTGAATCTTAGATCTAAAACCCGAATCCCTGAATCCTGAATATTCAATCCCAAATCCTCAACGCTAGAGGCTAGATCCCTTAATCCTAAATCCTAACTCCGAACCCTACATCCTGAATCCTAAATCCTATGTCCGAAACAAATCCTAAATCCTAGGGGATGTACCTGTATGGTTGGGCTTTAGGACTGAGGTCTTGAAGGGCTTTGGGCCCACATCTCCCTTTTCTTGAGGGTGGATGGGCGCCGAGCCCCATTCCAGGTCGGATAGGAATGCAGGGAAAATCGTTCTCCAGGGTTGGGATACCATGCGGTTGAAGGGCTTGTAGAATCGATGAATCCGATAGTCGTAATTGCGGCAGTGTACGACGGATGCGCGAAACAGCCGCTGTTGACTCGGGTAGGAGCCACAGTGTGGAAAGCGTGCAGACTTGCAGGCATAACATTTTTTTAAACCAACTTTGAAATTTGAACCTCTTCTACCTCTCGGCTCCCGGAGTGTGGCCAGAGACTCCGAAACGAGGCATTCAGATGGGTCCCCTGGAGTGTGATTGCGGCACGGGGCACGGGGCACGGCCCAGGGCATTCGGCAGAACAGCGCAGTAATTAAGCCAGGTCTGATGCCTGGGATCGGCGGCTGACTTCTTCTGAAAGATACGCTTCACGATCCGGCAAGGGGACGAGCCAACGCCATGCTGACAAACGTGCCATCGAGTAGAGGAATCCTGCGAAGGTCGGCCGTAGTTGTCATCAACATGGATCGCCCGCCAGAGTTCGCAGAAGCAAGAAGGGTCTCTGCTGGGACAAGGTTGATTAGTTCACGCTCCACGTCGTCCCGCAGTCTGCTTACAAGCGGTGTCTGGGCAAGACATGACGACACGAGCCACGATGCGCCTGCCACTGCACCCCCAACTGTTGAGGATTCTGGTCAGAGTGCATTCGTTCAGTCCAGCTTCCTCCTATCGAGCTCAAACAACGGAAGAAAATGGGAGCCAATACAGTCGGGCGATTCAATGGCGCCAGAGGAAAAGAGATCGGGATTTATGGTGAGCTTGAAGATGTCTTGAGCTAGGTGCGCAACTAAGCCCTGCACTGGTTTGGAAGCCCAGTTGTCAAGCGCCTCTTGGCGGAGAAACTCTCGCAAGAAGTGTGTGAAGGGGCCGGTTCTTGCACAACCTTTGTGGGCGATAGAGCAAAGGCTCCCCCAGCCGGGTTTACCTGTACCAGCGCACGGTGCGGAATTGCAGTGGAGGCTTGGTGGGATCTCATGTCGAGACACACAATCCCGGACTACAAATCCCCAATCTCAGCAAACCAGACGTTCCACAGGTCTGGGCGTTGAATCTGACGCAGGCGCCAGGGTGGCAGCCTGGCATGGGAGCGGTATCATCCCAGCTAAGCGCCGTTTCGCGCAGGATGTGCTTAAGACAAAAGACCAGCGGCTGGCACATTTGCTGCTAAGGTTCGATTCAGCGCCAGAAACCAGTCGGTCGAGAATATGAAAGAGGGCTGACCGGTCAAACACGAGTAGATGCCAATGTCCACGCTAGCGATATCTAAGAGAACCAAGAAGAGCCAACAGCTCAGCTGCGTCAACGCCCACGCGCCCCCATCCGAAGCGCTCGGGAAGTCTACCAACATGTTGGTGGGACACTGCTCTACTGGAATCCCAGTAGGGGCCTTCAGAGAGGCGCGGGCACGGAACATCAAGCTATGGAACATTCCACGTTCCAATCTCGCACGGAGTTCTGCAGCACGGAACGGGTAGCCCCTTTCCGGCGCCTTTCATTCCATCTTGCTGCGCCACACAGCCTTTCTGACCTTTCCTAAGCCTGCCGGTCCACCACCGACAGCACCAAGCAGCAGCGCCAACAGCAACAGAAGGCGCAAAGACATGTTGCTGACTGCTCTGACAAGGCTCACGTCGCGGGCAGACATGGGCTTTGCACGTTCCCCAGACCCGGCACTCGCGCCCGCCCGTCTACTTCCTACCGCTCGAGGAGCTCGATGATGATTTTGATTCTGATTCTGCCAACCCTGAAACCGTACACCCCGGCCTTGAGGCGCTGAAACCCTAAACTGCAGGCCTTGCGGCCCTGAAACCCTAACTCCAAGGCCTTGAGGCCCTGAAACCCTAAACGCCAGGCCTTGAGGTTCTGAAACCCTAAACCAACCGAACAAAGCCACGAAAAGTTGGCCATGAACCACGAAAAACTTGCCATGAATTTCGAAACAGTTTGCCATGAAAAATTGTCCATTAACCACGAAGAATTGGCCATGAACCACGAACGATTTGGCCATGAATCACGAAAATAAAACTGTCCGTTGGTCATGAACCACGAAAGATTGGCCATGAGCCCATGAATCCTGCCAAATTGGCCATGAATCTGAACCACGAGAAAATGGCAATGAACCACGAGTTCATTGCGGTTTAAACTACCATACGATGGAGAGGTTTAGGGTTTGGGGTTTAAGGTCCACGCCGTCCCCAATTCACCACTCGCAGGGTCGCCCAGTCCTCGAACAGCGCAAGCCGGTCGCGCAGGCCACAGAGAACCTGGGTGCATCTGAGGCCCGAAAAAGGCTGGCAACTGGGTTTAGGGTTTCGGGTTTAGGGTATAGGGTTTAGGGTTTAAGGTTTAGGGGGGGACTCCTCATATCGACACCCCAGAATATTGGGATCCCCGCATCATAAGGAGTAAGGCTTCTTTCGGGAACGCCTGCATGACAGGGCGGTTCGGCTCTGTAAAAGTGTTTGGCCTGCTGCTCAAAACGCTGCCGCTTGCAAAAGACGAGACGAAGATGCTGTCTTTCTGGGAAACGTCGGTCAAGTTTGGCCTCAAGTCAACCCACCTGACCTGCCCCCTTTGACCCCCGAAGTGTGCGCACATGATAAATCTGTTAAATGGTACGTGGGCATAAGAACAATAGAAAGAGTAACTCCGGCACAGCTTGCTTGGAGGAACAGCCCTAAACCCTAAACCCTAAACCCTATACCCTGAACCCTGAACCCTGAACCCTGAACCAACTAAGCGAAACCTGCGTTTTGACGAACTGGACACCCAAAGACCAGCAGGACCTGCCAGGAAGCAGCACGCTCACGGCAAGCCTCAGTCTTCGATTTGTGTTACGGATCAGGGTTCAGAGTGAAGAGGTTCAGGGTCAGGGTTTAGGGGTTAGGGGTTAGGGGTTTAGGGTTTAGGGTTTAGGGTTTAGGGTTTAGGGTTTAGGGTGTAGTGTTTAGGGTTTAGGGTTTAGGGTTTAGTGTTTAGTGATTAGGGTGAAGGCTTTAGGGTTCAGGTATCAGTTCGTTGGGGGGGTAGGTTAGCCTCCGTTCAGCTAGCAATAACAGCAACAAGCAATCACAATATCAGCCTCAATATCAAGAACAATCACAATCACAAATTGCCAGGACAATGGTTTAGGGTTTAGGGTTTACGGGTTGCGGGTTTAGGGTTTAGGGTTTGGGGTTTAGGGTTTAGGGTGAAAAGCCTCCAAGCAGAGGAACATGACCAGAGCCTCGACGAACCTAAGGCCCTCGACGACGCACACTGCCCCGGCACCGCCTCCTGCGGTCCTTGTTAAGAGCTTTTCGGGGGGGTTTAGGGTTTAAGGCTAGGGTCTAGGGTTGAGGGTTTTGGGTTTAGGGTGTGAGGGCTTGAGGGCTTTAGGCAAATGATTCCTGCTACTTGAAGCCTAAACTCTGGGGCTTGAGGGAACGCTTTCGGACGCTTGGCTTCCTTGGGAGCCCTGCTGGAGGTTTTTGGGGGTTGGAGTTTAGGTTTAGGGTTTAGGGTTTAGGGCTAAGGGTTTAGGGTTCAGGGTTCAGGGTTCAGAGTTCAGGGTTCAGGGTTCAGGGTTTAGGGTTTAGGGCGTAGCACGGGTCAGCTGAACGCAATAGTGTGAAGACATGCCCACCCCAAGGCCACACAATCACAACTCACTGCGAAACCAAACCGGAGCCAGCCTAAAGCAAGCCACCCATTCACAACTCACACGTCGGATCTTCGCATTAGACTGAAGTTAGTTCGGACTTCGAACGGCTGGGAAAGATTTCGACGAGGAAGCTCCAACAGGCAGCAGCCCAAGCCCCTAGCTTTAAAAAGTGGTGCAAGAGCAAGTAGCCGTCATCTTCTGGAAATTAAGTCAGCTTCAGACTTCGCGCCTGACCCCTCCTGGAACCCCAGAAGGCGAAGGACACACCCCTTCAGGTTTTTGCGAAGGGACGGTCTGGGCCGAAGGGCCCTCAAAAGTGAATAGGCTGCAGGTCGAGGGTCAGGCGAGGGACACACTCCTTCAGGTTTTTTGCGGAGGGGACGGTTTGGGCCAGGTTGCAGCTTGGGGCCATCAGGCAAAGGATACCCTATAAGGTTGTTGCGAAGGTAACGGAAGGGCGCGCTCTCATAGAAAACTCAGGCGTGCATGGAGCGGGTCGAAGCTCAGGGTCAGGCCTCCCAGGGCCTCTTCTAGGTGATGTCAGGGATTTTGAAGCAGGTAGGGGGGGTGGCCCAGAAGGCAAAGGATACCCCCCCTCGGGTTTTAGGGAAAAAATATATCTGCAGTGACTGTGCTTGGCGACCAAGCTTGGCGACCCCTCAGGGGTGCGGTGGGCAGGCTCTGCAGCTCAAGCAGAGCCTGCCATGGTCTCGCTGAGCGCTCGACTGCGCCCGCCTACCCCAACAGAGGTGCGAGGGGTGGTGGGCGGGTTTAGGGTTCAGAGTTTAGGGTGTAGGGTTTAGGGTTTGGGGTTCAGGGTTTAGGGTTGGGGTTTAGGGTTTAGGGTTTCGGCTTTAGGGAGTTGTACCAGTTGTGGGTTGTAGGGCGTTTAGGGACGTGGATTGTCAGAAAACTCGGGAAGCTAACATTTCCTCCAGCACAACGGCCCTTGTTGGTTGGGGCTTGGTTGAGGACGGCGTAGAGCATGGCGTGCGCGCGTAAGCCGAAACCCTCAATCCCACCAACCCAGCGCCAAACCCGATAGACCCCGTTCCAACAGCCAAAACCCTAGAACATAACCCTAAACCCCGAAGACCCTAGAAAAAAACTCCAAGGTTCAAAGCCTAAACAGCCCTTTTTGGGGTGTAGGGTCTAGGGCTTAGGGTTTAGGGTTCAGGGTTTAGGGTTTAGGGTTTAGGGTTTAGGGGTTAGGGGTTAGGGGTTAGGGTTTAGGGTTTAGGGTTTAGGGTTTCGGGTTTAGGGTGTAGGGTTTAGGGTCTAGGGCCTAGCCCACAGTTCAGTTCAGGGTCTGGATCATAAGTGGGCACGGCGCACAGATGCCATCTCCATCCGGGTCAGTCTGCCGGTAGGGGCAGAGGATGTCAATGCTCCCGATCTCTGCGCGGAACCTTCAAGTTAAGTTTAGGGTTTAGGGTTTAGAGTTTAGGGTTTAGGGTTTAGGGTTTGGGGTTTAGGGTTTAGGGTTTGGGGTTTGGGGTTTAGGGTTTGGGGTTTGGGGTTAGCCCCAACAAACGGCTGTTACGATAAGGGAAAGCACCCCTGGGTTGAGGTCATATCTCAACTCCGAACCCTACGATTAGGGCCACGAGGCTTGGAACAAGCAACCGAGGGATTCCAGGGTTTAGGGTTTAGGGTTTAGGGTTTTAAGGTTTTGGGGTTTTTGAGTTTTGGGGCTGAAGGCTGAGGGTTTAGGGTCTCTCAATGCGAACATCACCCCTGGGCTTACGGGCTTCTTTTGGGGAGGCTACGAAGGCATCTGCCAAGGGGCTCCAGCTTCGTGTCGCACGCGTAGCCCCAGTCCGCGGAGGGCTGGCACCAGCACACCTCAGCATGAAGGCCCAGACCCCAAGAAGCCCTGCAGAAGCTTGGGCCCTCAACCTAACACTGTACGGCTTTAAGACGCGGAAGTATATAAGAACAAAGCACCAGAAGAAGAACAAAAAAAAAAAACTAAAACCCTGAAAATGGCAGCGCTTTCCAGGTTTTCTTGGGTTTAAAGGCCTCAGGGTTTCAGGCGCGGCTTCAACGGCGCCTTAGAGCGCTTGTAAAGCCATGGGTCATTGGGGGACTGGGAAGATCCAGGTACACCTTGGGCAGGCACAGGCCCCCAAACGCTGAACCTCCTCAACCCAGCACAAAACCCGAGTATAGGGGCCTTAATAATTAGAACAGGGTTTTGGGGGCGTCATTGTAGTATTCTTATATAGGGACTTTGAGAAAATACTCGTAATTACTCCCGCCCCTAGAATACTCCCACCTTGTATGTAGTCGCAAGCAGGCCCAGATCTGTTGAAATCTTGCCGAAGTTGAAGGAATGGGTTTCGAGGTCATAGGCGGCGGTGGTGTTCAATCCTGCTGTTTCTTATGGACTGTTTCGGGTTTAGTGTTTCGGGTTTAGAGTTTAGGGGTGAGGGGGAGGGTTTAGGGTTTGGGGTTTGGGGTTTAGGGTTTAGGGTTTAGGGTTTAGGGTTTAGGGTTTAGGGTTTAGGGTTTAGGGTTTAGGGTTTAGGGTTTAGGGTTTAGGGTTTAGGGTTTAGGGCTTCGGGGGGGGGGGGGAGGCAGCAAGCCCCAAACGCCTATGGTGCACTGAGGATAGGGTGGTCTGATCAACCACCTGTACCCGCAACAACTATCAGTTTGTGACATCACTCCGGTACAGTTACCATACTTCTAACCCTACTTATAACGACCCATGAACTTGCAAAAAGATCGGATCTTGAAGGATTGCAAAAGAGGGAAGAGAATGCCCATCCCTTCTCCCTCCTTAGCAAGGGAAACCGCGTCTGAGGCTCATACTTGGGTTTAGGGTTCGGGGATGCAAAAGCCAAAACCACCCTAACCCAACCCCAAAACCCTCAACCCTACACCCCAAACCCCTGAACCCTAAACGCCTAAACCCTAAACCCCAAACCCCAAACCCCAAATCCTAAACCCTAAACCCTGCCTGCTGGATCCAGCTGGCCGCAACTCGGCAGTATCATGGCCCGGTCGTCTGCCGTGAGGTCGATGCCGTGGACATCCTTGAAGATTTGGTCTTTGGTTAGGGTGTAGGGTTTAGGGTTTAGGGTTTAGGGTTTAAGGTCTAGGGTTTAGGGTTTAGGGTGTAGGGTTTAAGGCTTCTGGGGGCTTAAGGGCATACAGGGCTTCTAGGGTTGAGGGCGCGGGGTTGAGGGCGTGGGAATGAGGGCGTGGGGATGAGGGCGTGGAAAGGGTTTGAGGTTCAGGGTTTAGCCAATCCTGCTCAGCTGTTTAAGGCTTCGGATATCGGGCTTCGGAACAAATACCTTCAGGATTTGCTTTAGGGTGTAGGGATGTCTATTATGTGTCATTCGCCTCGGTTTCCTGCTGAGAGGCGTCTAGTACAAGCAAGTCTCCTTCCCTCCCTCCCCCCAACCGGACACATTCTGTACCCCCCGCCCCCCGGCCTACAACCTCCCCGAGACCTGCGCTGAAACCTCTCAAGACCTGCACTTCCTGGGGACCATATGAACCCTAAAATTGGGGTCATAGATCCTATATTACTATAAGTCCTATTAAGGTCTATGAACCATAAACCCTTTTAGGGTTCGTTTCGTCCCCCCAAGGTTTGGACCCTCCTTGGACCGATGCGCACGCTACACCCCGCGTTGGGCCAGCCCGGCGGCCGAGGCGGCGCGCGCGAAGCGCTCTGAAGCCAAAGGCAGGGTCGAAGCGTCTGGGTTCTATAGGGTTGAGGGATTCGGGGGGCACTGAATCAGTGAAGAACCCACAAAACCCGACTCTCCTGCACTGCGAGGGGGCTTGCTTCGGGCTGCAGAAGGCCGAGGGGCGGAGACGATGAGAGGCTCCGCCTTCCCGAGCTGATAGGGTGGCAGCTGGCTCCGGGAGTTGGGCCCCGTGTAGACAAAGGACCTTAGTTGTTTTACCCGGGGGAACGAAAGGATAACCTTTGGGGATGTTAAAGGGATGATATTACCCCCAAAAAGGGTAAAGGTTAACTACTCTACTACTAGGGGACCCTGCAGACACGGAGAAGTCGACGGAGTCCGTGCAGTTGGTTGCAGCAGTCTTGCGGCACCAGCAGAGCTCGAAGATTCCGGGGCTGGCTTGGCGCATGCTCTCAAAGGACCTCATCTTGTACTCGCCGTGCTCGTCATAAACCTTGGGGTCTGCACATGAACCCCAACCTCCTATACCCGATGCTGCTATAAAACCCATACTAAGGCTTCAATCCTAAACCCTAAACCCTAAACCCTAAACCCTAAACCCTAAACCCTAAACCCTAAACCCTAAACCCTAAACCCTAAACCCTGGAGTCCCGACGTCCTCTTAGAAAGGCCCCCCACAAGGTGTGCTTTTGCGAAATTATTAAATTCACGCACGACATTCACTGCTTTCATTTCGTTTGTAATTCAAAACGCTTTCTCTTCACGGATATACTAGAGAGCGCAGTGGAATGTAGAATGAAGACAGGCCGTACAATGTTCTTGTTCATAGCGTCCGGGAATTCACGATAATTATATGGATGTTGTACGTGCTTTTTTCCCTTCACGCGTTCAACCATTACGTACACTGTTTCTTAAAATATGCCAAGAAAACAAAAATTAAAAGGCCGTATAAGTATATTCACAATCCAAGGTTAAGACTATTAAATGGACTTATATTTTTCATTGGCTTTCTGGTTCATGTCGTTCCCAATCTCACTAATTTCATGCGATCGTTCATTTCACTCACTCACTTATACACATGCCTGTTCCACAACAGACCGAGGCACTAGCTTGAGACCAAAACAGGAGGCTCCAACAAGAAGGTTAGGGACTAGGGAGTTTGGCATTTTGGGTTTAGGGCCGGTTAGGGTTTAGGGGGGGTTGGGTTTGGGGGATATGGGTTTGGGGGCTTTCTCAGACAAATAGATTTTCACGGCTGAGCAGGCCACAAACCTGAGACCAAGTGAGGAGATGAGGAGGCTCCCAAAGTACAAAAATGAAGAAACACCCTCCTCAACCCGAAACCCTTCCCTTCATCCTCAAGTCTAAACCCTAAACCCTAAACCTGATACTACATACTACCAATAGCCCTTTCAGATTTCAGTTGTCCTCCAAGGAACAGCAAGTGAGCCGAGCGCTACCTCAGTAGGCGTGTCCTCTGGGTCCCAGCAATTGCGGAGGACTCGCAAATGGTCGTTGTCAACCTCGTGATCTGTGGGCTCAGGGTTTAGGGTTTAGGGTTTAGGGTTTAGGGTTTAGGGTTTAGGGTTTAGGGATTTCGGGTTTCGGGATTTAGGGTTTAGGGTTTAGGGTTTAGGGTTTCGGGTGGTTTCGGGCTTTAGGGTTTAGGGCTTTTGCAGCTCAAGGGGGTTAAGGATTTCAGAGCACAAAGGCATCGAAGGTAGATGGCTCCACCCCTCTGCACTTGCTTAGCACGACTAAACATCACAGCGTTGGCACTCGACCCCTCAACCCTGAACCCTAAACCCTAAACCCCAAACCCTCCACCCTAAAGAACCCACAAAGCCCGAAACCCAACACCACGCAGATCCCTAAACCCTAAACCCTAAACCCCAAACCCTAAAGAATCCCCCCCTTGCCTGAAACCCAACACCATGCAGATCATGGATTGCGCAGCTGGGCCAGCTCTTCGCGCAGCGTGCGGCGTTCTTCAAGGAAGGCCCCTGGAGCTCCATGCTCGCCAGGTGGATGCTTCCTTTTGGGGGCTTTAGGGGTTTAGGGGTTTCGGGTTGAGGGTTTAGGGTTTGGGGTTTAGGGTTTCAGGTTTAGGGTTTAGGGTTTAGGGTTTAGGGTTTGGGGGTGTCGGGGCTTCGGGTTTAAGTCGTTTATGGGTTCAAGGGGGTTAGGGCTGAAAACGGCTGGTAGGGTTTACATGACCTATACAGCCTCTGGGGCTGAAAGTGCAGGCTCCTAGGGCTTTGGGGGCTCAGGCCCGACCGTTGCAACCTTCAACCTCTGTGCTGCGGAGATTCCTTGGAAGATACACCAGCAGAGCAACTTGTCACCCGGCCACGAGTCTTGTAGCACGTACTTCAGATGCACCGACCTGGAGGCGTCTACTGTGAAATTGAACGCTTCGCTCGAATTCTGAGCATCCTCACATGGCCGGCACTTGTAGTTGTTCGCGTATGCATCTTGGAGGGAGCCGCGGTCAGCTTCCCAGAACCAGGTCTGAGAAAGGTCCAAGAGGCAGTCGGCGCCCCGGGTACAGTTCAAGGACAACTTGGCATCGATGTCCACATCCTTGGGGACCAAATGAGCCCCCAAAACTGGGGTCAGACACCGTATACTACCATAATTCCTACTAAGCTACATGAGTCCATCAACCCTTCTAGGCTTTCATAAGTCGCCAAGGATCCAGGAGGACAACGTGGATCTGCTCTTGCTCAAGAGCCGCGGTGCTGTTCTCCGTCAGCTTCACGTCGAGGCAGACACGCTCATCGGGCTCCCGCGTCGCGTCAGGGATCACCAGCAAGAAGGCTGGCTTGCGGTCCCAGCCTCGAAAAGCACCGGAGTAGTAGTCTGCGAATGACCTGGGTGTTGGGGGGGGGGCCCTCAGAAAACTTAAGTTCTTACGGCTTTTGATACGGGAAGTATGTAGGGATGAATAAGGGTGGCTAACACTTCAAAAGGATGCTCAAGCCTAGCCCCTGTGACAGTGACAGTAGGGCACACTTTGGACCAATCTCGCCATCTTGCCAGCTCACTTCCGCATGCTCCTGCACGATCAGCGCGAAATCCGTAGTCTGTTCCGCCTCTGGCGCACCGCCTTCCAGACATCTCGCATGGGACAAAGACAACCTGAGCTGCTCCTGGAACTTTTGAAAACATTCCGAGTCCCTTAAAGAACCCAGGCGACTTAAACAATACATTCAAGAGCGGTCCAGCAACCCAGTTGCTCCGCTGGAGCCTCCCTGGCGGTCGGCGTAAATCAGGCACTCGCCTGTCCCAAACTCTTCCCGCGCCCGCGCCACTGAAGGGGTCATGGCAATAGTGCCACCATCCTTGTCGTCCATGATAAAAACCTCTTGCTGTTTTAGGGTTTAGGGCTTAGGGTTAGGGCTTAGGGCTTAGGGCTTAGGGCTTAGGGCTTAGGGCTTACGGGCACCAGCTGTTCATGCGTCTTGGCGCAGCAAGTAAACTATTCGTGATCTGGGGCGCTTACCAAAAACCCAGAACGAAATCACTCTTGCTAGACAAAGGGGTCTGGGAAAGCAAAACGCAATGTCATCATATCAAACCCCTCAAATGGACCTTTTGATGACCTGTAAAATGCTAGGCAACCTCGATCCTAAACCCGAACCCTAAGCACCCCTATGCACCCCGTTGCGGCCCCCGATGATGGTGAACTAGTGGACTGCCAAAGAACCCCTACGCAGAAGTTCAACAAGTCCTGCTCGCGCACGCGCCCCGCAGACCACGCACATCATCCCGACGAGCGGAGAGCACGTTCACAGAACGTCCGAGAAACGTAAGAAATGAGAAGCTCATTCGTGCAACAAATAACGTTCATTCAGTCGCAGCAGCGACGACGACGACGACCACCACCACCACCACCACCACCACCACCACCACGACGACGACGACGACGACGACGACGACCCCAGCACATATGTGCATGAAGCGCAACGACGACAGACCCATAAAGAAGACGAGTGCAGACCCAGCGCTGCGCTGCACGAGTCAAAAACCCGGAAAGTTGCTCCAACACGTGCAACTGGATGAGCAATGAGAACATCACGCACTCGCAGTCCAGGAGCATGTCACATGCCTCAAACCCAACTGCTCGCATCCCGCGAAAGCGTGCCCAGCAGGGCCACGAACATGCCCGGAAAGAGTCCGCATGGCTCATGGGGGCACGCAGCCCTCACTCCCGCCACGACTGGCGGCGGCTGCCACAACGGCTCTGACGACACTACTGCACGCAGAAAGTAGATGCTGGACGGGCGCTCTAGCAACTGCTGCTCTATTCACGGGCCAGGCACCCTAAGGATTTAGCGCGCGAGAGACAGACTCTTCCCGATATGCCGATCCCCATGATTGTAAGTCTTCCTTCCTCTTCTCCGACTCTAAGAAATGGTCACGGAAGAATACCTCACTTCTTAGCAAATACGAGATCCAGGCTATTCCCAACATGCTGCCTCTTCTCTCGCAGCCCAGGAAGGAAACAAAGATGGTCCCTTTTGTGGGATCGAATAAGAAAACGGTGCCGAATGTCCAGGGTACCATGCTGTAGAGAATTTGCCCATAAGGGTCTATATTGGGTTTTAAGGGGTTTAGGTTTTAACATTCAGTTTTAAGGCGTAGGCTCACGAAAAAAAAAAACCTAAACTGAATTGTATGAATCATTACTGGCGTGCCCTTGTCTGTATCCAGTATAAGAAGGGGGCTCCTGACAAGACCCCCAACGCTGTAGAATGTCCCCTTTGCACAGTCCCGTTTAGGGTTTAGGGGTCTGTTCACAAACCCTAAACCTTAAACCCTAAACCCTGAGCCCTAAAGCCGCCCTCACAGTTTCAAGACCCAAGACGATGCTCTTGGAACCTAACCTCTATAAACCCTAAACTCTAAGCCCTAAACCCTAAACCCTGACCCCGAAACCCTGAACCCGAAACCCTGAAGCCCTAAACCTGAACCCTAAACCCCGAAACTGGGCCTGGCCTCAATCTCTGAGCCAACACTCATATTCTGCGGGGTGGCGTCGAGCCCCAGATGCAAGACCTACGCGCTTGGGGTGTGGTTTGAAGTTCAGGGTTTCAGGTTTAGGGTTTAGGGTTTGCTGGGTTTCAAGTTTGGGGTCTCGGGTTTACGGCTTGGGGCTTTAAGGGTGTGGGATTTAAGGCTTCTGTGGGTTGGGGCTTCAAGTTTGGGGTTTGAGGGCTGGTTCCAACTGCCCCGCCCCTGTGCCGCCCACAAAAGAGACTGTAAAGGCACAAAGTCCCACACCAAGGCACACCGTAAACCCTAAGCCCTAAACCTTCAGAGGAGTCTCTGCAAGCAGATGCCTTCAAAAGCAAGCTTCAGGTCTTAAGGTCGCTCCTTGGGGAGCACGTGACTCATGCATCTGGGAAAGCCGGTTGAGGGCTTAAGGATTAAAGTAGGGCGTCTTCCGGTGGAGAAAGTACAAAGGTTTTGGGCACTAAATACTTGTAAACCGGTCCGCTCTCAACATGTGGAGTAACCCTAAACCCTAGACCCTAAACCCCTAAACCCTAAACCCTAAACCCCTAAACCCTACACCCTAAACCCTAACCCTGCATGTAAGGAACCACATTGTGACAGGCAGCCCCAAAGGTGCAAAGCCTTCCGAGCCCTGAGTGAAGGCTTGAGGTTGTAGCTTCCCTCCGCACATCTGAGACTCTAAACCCTAAACCCTAAACCCTAAACCCTAAACCCTAAACCCTAAACCCTAAACCCTAAACTCGAGTGGCTCTAGTGAATCGCCCTTCCCGGGCCACCACGCCGATGCTGAACATCTCAGAAAGGAAGCATAGAACCCAAAGAGTCGGGAGCGAAGCATCATGCGGTTTAGGGTTTAGGGTTTAGGGTTTAGGGTTTAGGGTTTAGGATTTAGGGTTTAGGGTTTAAGGTTTCGGGTTTCGGGTTTAGGGTTTAGGGTTTAGGGTTTCTTGGTCAAAGCTTGTTCAATTTATACATGTGTCTGTGGCTTGTGTCGTACAGCTTCTCGACATAATCTGCCACATAGGCGTTTGCATCTGATTCAATGCACCCTAAACCCTAATTCCTACACCCTAAAGCCCTCATGTCTAGCGTGCCTTGGTGGGTTCGGCAATGTCGTCGTCGAAGATGAAGATGAGGAAAGCCTTCACGCTGTAGTCACCATCCTCCCACACCACCTCGTGCGTCTTGTTAGGGGTTTAGGGTTTAGGGTTTAGGGCTTAGGATTTAGGGTTTTGGGGTTTCGGGTTTAGGGTTTAGCGTTTAGGCTTTAGGGTTTAGGGTTTAGCGTCTAGGGTTTAGGGTTTGGGGTTTAAGGCCAAACCCTAGACCCTTAAAGTCTAAACCCTACACCAAAAAACATGAAACCCCAAACCTAAACCCTACACCCCAAAACCCGAAACCCTAGACCCTCAACCCCAAAACCCGAAAGTTTCGGGCCGAAACTCTAAACCCTAAAACCTAAACGTCTACACCCCGAACCCCTAAACCCAGTGTGGAGCCTCGCAGCCGCAAAACCTTCATGTGCTTTGCCGTAACGTAAGAACCCCAAAAACTGCTTTGGTCTTCGTTCCCTTTTTCGGGAAGCACTCTTTCAGGAGCTTTGGGGGCATAACCTAAGAAAAATAGAAAACAGGGTTTAGGGTTTAAAGGGTTGAGGGTGTGGTGTTTAGGGTTTAGGGTTTAGGGTTTAGGGTTTAGGGTTTAGGGTTTGGGGTTTAGGGTTTAGGGTTTAGGGTTTAGGGTTTAGGGTTTAGGGTTTAGGGAGTTAGGGAGTTAGGGAGTTAGGGAGTTAGGGTTTAGGGTTTAGGGTTTGGGTTTAGGGTTTAGGGTTTATTTGTTCTAGGACTCCTTGGAGGATTCCTGCGGTAACCTTCAACAGACAATGGAGTGCCCACTTCAGTCGGGCAGGGTGTACAGGGTTTTTGAGGCTTTTTTAGGGCTTGGGTTTCAGGGTTTGGGGTTTGGGGTTGGGATGTTCCCCCTTATACTAACAGTCCTGAATAGGGATTCTAGTAGGGGGTACTGGAATCCCTACTAAGGACTGGTAGTATAAAGGGGAACATCCCGAAACACTAGCCGTGGCTTAGATGGAATGCTTATAAGACAAAATGCCCGTACAAGTCGCGCGATACTTCCAACGGGGGATTTGAAGGACCCCGTGAACCGTGAAGGCAGCCTCAAAACATGATAAAACGAGGCCTGTTTCCCAAAAGATGGCTATTCCAAATATACCCCCAGAACACGGTACAATCCTTGAGGACCTTCACGAGGAAACCCTAAACCCGAAACCCGAAACCCCGAAACCCTACATGGTTGGGGTTGTCAGGGCGAGCTGGCTCGAACCCAAAACCTGTGGAGCGAACTCACAGCTCCTGTCGGGGGCTAGTGGGTTTAGGAATTTCGGGTTTAGGGATTTAGGGCTTAGGGCTTAGGGCTTAGGGCTTAGGGCTTAGGGTTTAGGGTTTAGGGTTTAGGGTTTAGGGTTTAGGAGTTCTTTTTAAGGCTTCTTGTGTTTTAGGGCTTATAGGGTGTTCAGGGACAGACAAGACCTTTAAAGCCCAGCAGCAAGGGGCGGAAGGATGTCGTAGTCGTGCCCCACCCCTCAAGGGCAGCACTCCCGGAGGCCCTTAACCCTTTGGGGGTTTAGGGTTTAGGGTTTAGGGTTTAGGGTTTAGGGTTTAGGGTTTAGGGTTTAGGGTTTAGGGTTTAGGGTCTAGGCTCTAGGCTCTAGGGTCTAGGGTCTAGGGTCTAGGGTGTTGGGTTGAGGGCGTAGGGTCTAGGGAGTTTGTTTCACTAGGGGCAGAAGGCCCCCGACCTAAAACCCGTCAACCCCCGTGAAGAAACCTTCAAGTCCGCGAACTGAAAAACAAGAAGCTGAACCCCCAAACCCCAAAAAGCCGTAAAACCTAAACCCTAAACCCTAAACCCTAAACCCTAAACCCTAAACCCCGTGCGCACACACCAAAGTCAGCCTTGAGTCGCGTTGGTCTTGTTCAAGACTTCGATCGTGGCCACGACAGCTCCGCTGGAAAACGGGTCGCGAAGCACAGCGATTGAGAAAAAGCTGCCTTGACTTCTCCACAGGGTGAAACACTGCTTTGAGAAAAAGTTCAATGAGAGCTGAGCTATATATACATGCATATGTAGGCTGCAAGGTGCTTGACCCTGAGGATTTAAAAAAAAAAAACACGCAAGAATCTGACAAAACCCTATCTGGAGGTTCAGGGTACGTAGTAACCCAGTCATGACTGCACTTATAACCCAACGATCACCCTCTTAGGGTACTGAAGGGGCTGAAAAGCGCTTATAACTACACTTATCATTGGGTTATAAGTACCCTAAACCCTGAACCTCCAAGTAGACTGTGTAGGTGCTTCGGACTCCGAGATCAGGGTAGATCTAAGCCCTACATCCTAAGGCGTTTGGATTTTGGGGGCTTCGGGTTTAGGGTTTAGGGTTTAGGGTTTAAGGGTTTAGGGTTTAAGGGTTTAGGGGTTTAGAGCTCGGGTGGATTTTGAGAGTTTCCCCCCCACTCCCCTCCGCTTGGCGTAAAGGGCGAGACCAAGTTGCAATTGCCCCAGTCGCCGCAGTCTTGCAAGTCGCGCCCCTCATACACCTCGATGGATTTTCGAAGGAACCTTGCACAAGAAATCACAGAACGAACTTGCGACGTGAACCCTAAACCCTTGATAAACCCCTAATCTACCATTGGATCAACCCTGATAACCCTTGGCCCTCAACCCTAAGGCACAGCTCTCTTCCTCCGACCCTCAAGTGCTGTATCGTGTCGTGTCAACCACCCTTTCAGCCTAAACCTAAGCCCTAAACCCTGATTTTCGGGTTTAGGGTATAGGGTTTAAGGTTTGGGGTTGAGGGTTGAGAGTTGAGGGTTGAGGGCTGAGGGTGGCCGATCGAGACTGCGGGTTCCAGGAATGAAGCCCATAGTATTTCGATTTAGGGTTAGGGTTCAGGGTTCAGGGTTCAGGGTTCAGGGTTCAGGGTTTAGGGTTCAGGGTTCAGGGTTCAGGGTTCAGGGTTCAGGGTTTAGGGTTTAGGGTTTAGCTTTAGGGTTTAGGGTTTAGGGTTTAGGGTTTAGGGTGTAGGGTTTAGGGTTTAGGGTTTGGGGTTTGGGGTTTAGGGTTTAGGGTTCAGTTTGGGTCCTGGGCTCCGGGGCTTAGGACCCTCAACCTCGAGCAGAGGGGCTGGACTCCCTGGCCGCGGACCAGAGTAAGCAGCACCAGCCACAAGCGCCAGGGAGGCCAACCACGCATGCTATATGGTTTAGGGTTTAGGGTTTAGGGTTACAGACTTGAAGGGTTTGCAGGGTTTAGGGTTTAGGGCTTTGGGGCTGAGGGTTCAGGGTTTAGGGTTCATCTGGGCTCCGGGGATCATATACAGCTTTTTGGGACTTACAGGGTTTCTACGGGGTTTCTGGGCTGCAAGGTGCTTAGGATGCTTAGGTCCCTTTGGAGCAAGGTGCTCTTGAACCGGCAATCTGAGAACGCACCGACTGGAGCCAAAGAAAGCTGAGATGCAAACATCTTGCCCCTAAACCCTAAACCTTAAACCCTAAACCTTAAACCCTAAACCCTAAACCCTAAACCTGAAACCCCCTTGACTGCAAGGTGGTCTCTTCTTGGGTCCCTTCTATAGAGGCCCACTCTACGCAAGCACCCGAGTTTGCACCAAGAGGTATCGTAAGGCGGACGGTATTGAGCTTGGCCTGTTACTATTGGGCTTCGGGTTCAGGGTTTGGGGTTTAGGGTTTAGGGCTTAGGGCTTAGGGCTTAGGGCTTAGGGCTTAGGGCTTAGGGCTTAGGGCTTAGGGCTTGGGGCTTGGGGCTTAGGGCTTAGGGCTTAGGGCTTAGGGCTTCGGGCTCAAGGCTTAGGGTTTATCAGTTTTCCTTGAGTTATATCACATTCCCTGCGACATTTTGATAACGACTCACCTGGCTCTGGTGTAGCCCCAGCTTCCAGCGTGGGGATGACCGTCTGTGCAGCAAGAGCCCAGGACCCAGGTTCTCAAATCATGACAAAACAGCTGTAAAGAAAAGAACTAAAAAGTGTGGCAGTGGATCAAACACGTCGTGCTCTGGCTTCAACGTCCCAAAAAAGTTCCCAGAGGAGCTGATTGGGCGTTCAACAACCAAAGCTTGTTGATGCTTAATCTTGACCCCCTGCCATATGACAAGGACCCTAAATCCTAAACCCTAAACCATAAACCCTAAACCCTAAACCCTAATGTTGCACCCGGTTTGGTATCGGCCCCCGCTTTAAAGACAAACTGGCCGAATTATTCAGGACATGCTGACTGTTTGGGAGTCCCTCTTTAAAGACAAATCGTCCGGGCGGCGTAAGAAAATTCCACGTGGCGCGCCTTTAAAAAAGATAACCGGGCATCGCTGCCCCTTTTGAACCTATCTAAACTCCTCCCTATTAAAATCATATGAGCCCCCGGCCGTGTAATCAGGATCCCATCCACCCCCACGACTGCTGAGGGGGGGGGGGGCCCCCACACTAAACAGGGGGCAACATTAAACCCTAAACCCTAAAACCTGCCATCTCTACTTCTTGCCTGGAAGACCCCACATGTCAGATCTGGCAAGATTACGATCACGCGACAAGCTCGCGTCACATCGACAAAAAGAATTCTCGCCCTAAACCCTAAACCCTCAACCCTAAACCCGAAACCCTAAACCCTAAACCCTAAACCACAGCAAGCGCCGTGTTGAGTTCCTCCAGGAAGGAGTGCTCCATTTACATACTGGGAGATCCACACTGCCACGAACCTCCCTTTGAGTTAGGACTGGCCGGACCTATTTCGTGCGGACATGGCTACGCTGACTTACTTGCACATTTTTTGTGGAGCGATTGTTATATGCTTTAAGCAACATCCAAAGCATGAATGCCGGGGTATTATTGCTTCTCAATATGCATCAAAGATACCTACAACCAAGCCAATTCAGAAAGCTAAGTGGGTGAACCTCAAGACCATGATCCACTCCAGTGAAACCAGTTCCGATGCTCTCCAAGCTGTGCTGGACTTCTGTGCATCACGCTGTACGTGCCCGTTTGCTCTGCCCAGGCCCGTTCCAGTCCTGGCAGTGAATCTTCTGAGGATATGTGGACGTCTACAGCCAACTACACGGCATCCTGTTCAAAAACCGAAAGAGGTTGCCAGAATAGTCTAGCTGCTAGCTGTGGGGATGTGAACTAGTATCTGTGTTTGGCACTACAAGGAATTGAGCACTACTAAGGCTTCCCCACGACGATCTCTCAACACGGCTGAGTTTCCCTCGAAGAGGTGGGGGGTGAGCTCCGACTGCCAAAGAAAAGCAAGCTTTCAAGGCAGCGACCCTTTTGGACTAATACTTCTACGGCTCAACATGATTGGTCCCACAACAACGCGTGTCTGTGGGTGACTCTGTATGTCGGATTGACACATCCACATCATGCTATGCTACTGCGCACTACTTTCTTTGAGGACGCTTTTGTTCACTCCATGGAGGTCGGGGCGGCCCCGGATGACTTCTTTGTAGCACAAACGCTGGCAGGAAAGCTAAAGCTACTGATTTCTGGAGACCCCCGCCCCTAAACCCTTCAAAGCCTCAAACCCTAAAACCTTAAGCCCAAAGCAGTCCTTGAAGTCACAGAAGTCCCTCTTGGAGCCACAGCGAAAATACTTCTCGCCATTCATCTTCGTGCCCACGCCCGCTGCCCGCCCACAGTAACACTGGGGGAGCATGTGAATAAAACGGCACTTTTTCTCGCCACAGAAGAGGATCTCCCTTCCGAAGTTCTCAGGCTGCCCATGGGTCACCGTCCTGCGCACTGCGGCTTGCCCGCAGTCGCAGTAGTGGCGAACTCGCTTCAAGGCCGCCAGGAAATCAATGCGCAACGCTGCAGGGTCAAAGATAACAAACCTGCTTGCCGAATCCAAACTGTCTCAAAAAACCGGTGCATTGCATTATAAGGCAACTGCAAAAGGAGAAGCTGAAACATGCTAACACCACCGCCCAGAAACTCACGATAACGTTGGATCTTGCCTCCCAGCTCAGCTACTAAGCTGGTCCTACCATGCCTCAAGGCCTCCTTGCGCCCTTTCACGAAGATGGGTTTCTCGGTCCTGGCACAAGTCTTCCCATCCTTGGTGACAAACGGATCTCCCAGAGCTACGCGACAGACCAAGGCGTAGTAGACATGAGTGGCGTGCTTCACTCCCCGTTCATAGAGCTTCTTGTGGAGGTTGTAGAGTTCATGCTCCGGCTTGTTGCCCTTCCACTCAGGGTCTTGGGTCAGATACTGATCGATCTTCGCGGCGTCCTCGGCCAAGTAGGTCCCCTTGCCGAACAGGCCTGGGATGTCCCCTGAAACCTTCTGAAAACTTCCTGAACATGATCCCTGTAGACTCTTGGGAAACTCTAAAATGTCCAACGGGCCCTGTAAACTATTGGGAAACTATAGAATTTCAAAAGGGCCTACCGAGAGGCCCTCCTTGGAAAGATGTGGATCCAGGCCCTCAAACAGGATGTCATGCCTTGGTCCCAACCGACCACCCATTCCACAAAAAAAACATCAGAGTTTTTGACAGGATGGAAATAGCGGACGACCATTATCATGGACCATATGTGCCATGGCTGTGTCGTTTTGCTAATTCAGAGAAGTTTGCTTCTGAGATAGTCACACTGAGAAAGACATGTTTGACTACATCGCCTAAATCATCTGGCATACGCTTCATCACAATCCGCTGAGCCCTCACTTCCAGCATGGGCCACTGAACATTGGAGTTCATGTTTGACTGGATCTGAAAACATTATGTTTAAAAAACGGGGGGGGACATCCCCAAAGCATAGGACATGTCCCACACCTCGTCCAGCTGCAGATGCTCAGGCTTCGTTCCATGCAGCAGCAGCATCTCATTCCTGGAGGCATCCAGCGGCGCCCTCAGAACCTCATCTTGCAGCTCCGAGAGCTTCGATTCCACCAGCATGTCCTCGCGCTGAAGAGCAGAAACCTCGCTAATCCCGGTACATCTGTATGTGTATATGGCATTGTCTATACACATATGTATATATATATATACATAGATATACATAAATAAATATATACTTGTATACATGTACGTGAATATGTAAGTCCACGTGTATGTGTGCATGTATATATATATATATGAGCCCGCAACCTTTAGGGTCTATTTTGTCTTGTGCCTTCCTTTACTACTACAAAAAACACACAAAGAATGAATATGCAATTCCTGTAATAATATGCAGCTACGACTTCCAAGCTTATGTCATATCAGTTGTTTTTGCTCGCATAGAGTCTTTGTGTGGGCTGGTTGCTTGTGTTTTTAACATGTCGTGCGCTTGCAAGCATAATCTGTTCCCTACACTTGAACTGTCAACTTGCTTTTGTGCGCTTGTTTCTTGATCGTTGTTCCCATTGATGTTTTTGTGGGCTGGTTGCCTGTATTTTCTAGGATGTCATGCCTTTACAAGTACAATCTGTTCGTAGAAACTACTCCCTACACTTGAACTGTCAAACTTGTTTTTGCGCGTTCCCATTGATGTTTTTAGAATATGTGAGAGTGTAGGGGGAGAGAGGGTGTGCAGTGTATTCAGTGTGAGATGCGACATACGAAAGCAACAAAGACTATGGAATCACTGGGGTACCATACATGAAATCAATGAGGACTGCAGAAAAAGAACGTAAGTCCAAAAATACAAGGTCATGGCCGAGGGATTTCTGGTCCTCGCGCGACATACAACAGAAACAAAAACTACAGAATCATTGGGAAAGAACCTTAGAAAACAAAAGCAACCAAGCTCACAACAGCATCAAAGACAACAAGGATCACAAAACAAACGCACACAAACAAGTTTGACAGTTCAAGTGTAGGGAGTAGTTTCTGCGAACACGTCGCTGTCGCGAGACTGCAAGAACTATCGAAAGAAACCTAAAGAAATACACGAAAGTACGACGAACGGCAGCATCTCAAAGAGTTACCTGTATTGAGTTCAGCTCTAAACTCTAAATCCTCAACCCTAACCATAAGCCCTAAGCTCCCAACCCTCTCCAATCCGTAAATCCGAAACCTTAAACTCTGAACCCCAAACCCTACACTGTGCTGCGAAAAGGCGCAGAATCTAACTGAAATAAGGCGCAGTAGTTGAAGGGGGGTCGGGACTAAGCGAGGTGTCTACAAATTTGTTTTGGTTTAAAGAGGCTTCGAAGGGATACTAAACCTTAAATAAAGAGAATGAGGGCCTGCTCTAGCTCCTACACCCATGTTGCTTCATGTCTACAAAAAGGGTAAGCTACACAAAGATATCAACACACACCCGAGCGATCCCCAGTTAGCCTCCCCAGCTCTTCTCCTTAAGGCTTGGAAGTTAGGGTTTAGGGGTGAAGGCTTAGGGCTTGGGGCTTTAGGATTTAGGGGATTGGGATGTAGGGTAACCAAGATCCCAAAACTTCTTCCCCAGGCAATAGACCCTTCGAACAGGTCGCCAAATATTGCCAAGGGGCTAAAGACTCCAGGATATCCATAACTGATGATCCCTAGCGCAGGTTCCCCAACATGGATTCTCAGACACAACAAGAAGACAGACCTCCACGGGAATTTCTCGGCGATCTCACGTCTTGCCCTGCGTGTCAATGTGCAAAGATGCTGTTTTGGGCAAGCGGTCGAGCAACAGTCCTCGACATGTAGCGCAGTCGCAAAGGCGTCTTGTTGTACACGAGGGGCACCTGAAGCCGATGAGGACTAACAACAAGGCCGAGATGGACGCAGATGCATGCTACTGTTCTGGCCGAGCTGTGAACGGATGCTGCTCGCCTCTTTCTGTATTGCACCGAGCGCCAGGCAGCATTGTTCTGGCTCGTCCAGGGGGTATCCCACATCGTCCACCTGGCAGAAATAACATTTATTAGGAGCGGATGTTTCTCGCCTCTGTTTTGTATTGCGCCAAGCGCCAGGCAACGTTGTCCAGGCTCTCCTCGTTCAGGGGGTATCCCACATCGCTCACCTGACAGTTTTTTTATATGAACGGATGCTGCTCGCCTTCGTTTCGCAATGTGCTCAGCGCCAGGCAGCATCGATCTGCCCATCCTCGTCCAGAAGGCATCCCACATCATCCACCTGGCAAAACTCCTGCTCCTCGTTGTCCAGGGGGTTTCCCACATCATCCACCTAGGGCCTTTTTTGGAACGAATGCTGCTCGCCTCCGGTACGTTGTCCTCAGCGCCAGACAGCGTCCTGCTGCCCCTCCTCGTCCGGGGAGTCTCCCACATCGCCCACCTAGAATACATTTAATGACAACATGCTGCTCGCCTCCGTTTTGTCTTGCGCTGAGTGCCAGGCAACGTTGTCCTGACCCTCTATTCCACATCGTCCACCTGGCAAAAAAATTCTCTCTTTTATGAACGGATGCTACTGGCTTCCACTATGTTGTCCTCAGCGCCAGGCAACGTCCTCCTGCCCCTCGTTGTCCAGGAGGTCTCCCGCATCACCCACCACGTTTACTTGCCGCCTTCAACCACTTTGGCGGAGGACCAGGAGGTGGTCGTGGTGTACCAGACAAGGCCTTGTCCGGCTTGTATCACTTATATGATTCTGATATAGAACGACGGTGCGTGTCATCAAAGGCAAGGCCCGCGTGCTGGCTGCCTCTAGCAGGCACTTGCTGTTGACCTTGCGCGCGTCTGAGTCATCATCACAAAAAATTGACGCTGCACTCAATCGTGTCAACTCCGCAATCCCTGAGTTGAAGGCGGGCCGAACGTCTCCACGCTGCTTTGCCTTGATTGAGTAATGTCAGGTACACTAAAAGGGTACGCTTGTCCTATCGCTTGTCCTATCCTTGTGTTCTTTCTTTTTTTGCAACTGAGCTCGCAGCTGCTATGGGCGTCGCCCTTTGCACGGCCTTAGTATAGTGACATTAACCTGTGCATTTGGAAGGTTTGTCTGTCGGATCCTTGCGTAATAGTGTTTTTCCTGAGCGCACAGCCACCGCAAGCTTTCCATTCCGCATTTCTTCATTGAGGTGACATCACTTATCTAACGATAGATATGCATGGTTTGTGGTCATGTCCTTGCGCTTTTTCTTTCTGAGTCCGGAGCCATCACAGGCTTGGGCTGTCGTCTCCACGTCCAGGCCTGATGGTAAATGAGTGAACAAGATCGTTGTCCTTTTTTTGTGGCGCACAGGCCCGTGCCTCGTGGGCCTGCATGTCTAGGCTGGCCTCGTGATTTAAAAAAATTAAAATAATTTAAAAGACCCCCTGTAAATTATTCAAAAAATTTCATATTTAAGTCAATTTAAATATTGGAATTTCCTGGGGAAGTCCTTCCAAAGGCGCGCTTTAAATTATTCAAACTATTTAAATCCCCGAAACGCTTTGAAAATTTCAATACTTTAAATTATTTTAAATGAGGCCCTTGGAAAGACTTCCCCAGAAAACTTGAATATTTAAATTAAATTCAAAAATTAATTGAAATAATTTAAATAATTTAAATAGGGCCATTTCAATGATCTAAATAGTTTAAATTGCCAAAAGGGTTTTCGGGGATTTAAATAAGTTAAATATTTTAAATAATTTAAACAATTTAAATAATTTAAGCAATTTAAGCAATTTAAATAATTTAAATAATTCAAACAATTCAAATAATTTAAACAATTCAAATAATTTAAGTAATTTAAATAGTTTAAATAACTTAAATAATTCAAACGACCCCCTTTAAATTATTTAAATTATTTAGATTATTTAAACTTTTTGACTTTTTTAAGATATTTAAGTTTTTAAACTTATGAAAATTTTTAAAATAATCAATTTTTTTAAAATGATTTAAGTTATTTAAATTGTTTAAGTAATTTAAATATTGGAATTTCCTTGGGGAAGTCCTTCCAAAGGCGCGCTTTGAATTATTTAAACTATTTAAATCCCCGAAAACCCTTTTGACAATTTACATAATTTAAATAATTTAAATGAGGCCCTTGGAAAGACTTCCCCAGAAAACTTGAATATTTCAATTAATTTAAATCATTTAAGCAATTCATATAATTTAAATAATTTAGATAGGGCCATTTCAATTATCTAAATAGTTTAAATTGTCAAAAGGGTTTTTGGGGATTCAAATAGTTTAAATAATTTCAATAATCTAAATAAATCAAATAATCTATATAATTTAAATAACTTAAATAATATAAGCGACCCCGTGTAAATTATTCAAAATATTTATACGACTAAAAAAATAGGAATTTCCTATTTAAATTAAATAAATTATATAAATCCACAAACATTCTTCAATAATTTAAACCAATGGAGTTGGTTTATAATTCTATAAATAATCCAAATTGTTTAATTTCGCTTTAGCATACACAGCCAAGCATAGAAGCAGAATAGACCCGAAAGGCTTCTCTTTCATGTACATATATATGTATATACATATATGCTCCATATACATATCTATAAATATATATATATATGTATGTATGTATGTGAGTGTGTGTGTGTGTGCGTACGAACATACCTACCTACCTACATACCTACCTACCTACTTACCTACCTACCTAACTACATAATATATGTGCATATGAATGCGGATGTGAACTTAAAGGTATGTGCACATGTGTAAGATCTAAGTGCATGCATGTATGCATTTCTGTATTATGTATGTATATGTATGCATATATAAGCACACCTGCAGCTAGATAATGGAAAAAACGGTTGATCATGTTTCTCTGCACCTCCAAATGGAAAAAGAATCTGATCACAAAGGCTCCAGCATTCTGGGCATCAAGACCGCGAAAGAACGTGGTGAACATGACCGCGCCTAGACTATCCCGTTCATTTTGCAGATGTCACTCAAGTGAACTTCGCATGTAGGTATCAAAAGCCTGGCACTTCGAACAAAACCCCAGAAGCAAAGGACATTGCGTCAGCTCAAATGTTCAGCAACGTAATTCTGCAGGTTTTCATGCAAAGACTATACAGTCATCTTCACTGACAGGACCGGCTCATCATAAACCTCTAAAGTGAGATTGTCAGCGATAGCGATCAGACCATGTCTATAAGGCCCCTAGTAGCCACTTTTTCTGATGAGCGTTTATGATAAGCCGCAGAAAACTTGCCCAGGGATGGTAGTGCACACAACCATCGTGTACGGAAAAAGCAGTCTTCACACCCCAATAGTCCTCAGAAACTTCCGGCAACTTCTTCAAGAACTTCTCGTACCGCTTCTGCCGCTGAGGGTTGGAAACGCGCCATGCGCACTCCACCTTGAGGTAGTCGTAGTCCGTGCTTTCTTCGCCTAGATGGCGTGAAGCATGTCGTGTGCTGTCCACCCCGCGGGGAACTACTATTCTTCCAAGGGGGACGCTCTGATCAGCATTGCTACTGACATATTAATATGATGATATTCTGATACCATCGATTGTGCTATTCTAGTCCAAGCATACTGCAATAAAAGCCTACTTCATGCGGCCGCGCAGGGGCCCCCAAGCCTTTTCGGAGCTGCAAGGAGTTCAGAAACTATATGAATCACCGTCAATATTTGCTACCTGGGTTAGGGTTTAGGTCTTAGGGGTTCAGGTTTAGGGTTTAGGGTTTAGGGTTTAGGGTTTAGGGTTTAGGGTTTAGGGTTTAGGGTTTAGGGTTTAGGGTTTAGGGTTTAGGGTTTAGGGTTTAGGGTTTAGGCCTGAGGGTTTAGAATTAGAACTTCGGGTTAAGGGTTTAAGGCTAATACTTGCTGAGCTTGCTATGGCCACGGATCCCCCCAGTGACATTTATGAGAATGATTTGCGCAATCCCTGAAAAACAATGGATGACCACGTGTGCGACCAGTCACACTGGTCGCGGCCCAGCCCAGTCGCTGTGCCAAAAGGAATGTCGAAAAGCCTTCCCAAGTGAGGACATGACAAGTGATGACGGCTGGGTCAATGTGAACCACCATGCCAGGTGATGACACGTATTCCAAAAAACGGTACAGTAGCTTGATTGCGACAACATCTATCAAGCGCAATGCTGCTGGCAATCGAACCAGCAGGGGGGGGGGGGGTGTCCGTGTATGTCAGGGTCACGTTTAGCTTAACCTGCCTAACCAAAAGAAGCTAGAATCATGGTTTGGATTACCCGTGGGCATCGTATTGACACGCTTTGTCTCAAAACGGGACACCCGAAAATAGCCGTATAAGTGAGGAAAAATTTCGAACAAAAAAACGCTTTGAGACATACCCATATCAAAACTTGGAACTTTATGACACGCCAAAGCTTGGGTCCAAACCACCACCTGCGTTCACCCCATGGAGGGGCCTTTGCAGATGTCTTCTGGTGATCTCATCCACCACGTACTCCGCACTGCCAGGTGTGGAGGTGCTGGGAGGGGCGACCGGCTTGGCGGCCGATAGGAAGTCGAAAGTCCCACATTTCTGGCAGTGATAGTACTTGCGACCTCGACAGGGGACCAGAGGTGAAGGTGACACCACAGATGACTAGAGGGCACAGGGTGGGCACCCTACCCCCAAAGGAATGGGTCTGGTTGGATACAAGCCAAAAGGTGCAAAATTGTGAACTCCTACCCATCTGGGGGCCTTCTGATGAAGCACTCGCTGAACAACCCAACAAGCACATCTCAGACCCCAAGCAACGAATCTCAAACATCTCCCGCCTGCATTGCCCTTCGGGTTGTGTTCCCCCACCGTCCTCACCTGCACATCTTTCCCACACTTCTTGCAGCTCTGCCCCTCCCACGCGTCGGACTCCTGGGAAGCCGGTGGTTCCCTAAACCCTCAACCCTAAACCCTAAGCCCTAAACCCTGAACCCTAAACAGACGCGTTGGACTCCTGGGAAGCCGGCGGTTCCCAGTTTGAGTACTCCCACTGGAAGAAGCTGCACCCGCAAGCGCCGCTGCTGGCGCAGGTCCAAAAGGATCTGCCACGGTTGGGCGCCTTCAGGGTTGAGGGGTTTGGGGTTTGGGGGTTTAGGGGTTTAGGGTTTCGGGCTTAGGCTGTAGGGTTTAGGGTTTAGGGCTTAGGGTTTAGGGTTTAGGGTTTAGGGTTTAAGGCGCCTTCTGAGTGACCTTCAACACGCTCGGATGTCCACAGCGACACGGAGGCCCCGCAGCGGATAGAGTGGTGCCACCTACAACTGCAGCATTGCTGAGAAAAAAAAGACCGTCCGTCTCCAAAGTTACTTCTTCAGAAAAATGGAGGGGATAGGGCTAGGGGGTTTAGGGGTGGGTAGGCTTCTACCAAGTCGAACTCTCAGAAATTTTAAACTACAACCGGAAACCATTCCTTGAAAGCCCGCGCCTTGATCCAGCCACTGGAAGAAGTCGCAGGCCGAACAGGTCCAGAACTCGCGGCCAGTTGCACAAAGGCGCACTCATCTCCGGGAACGCAAGGTGAAGCAACACAGTCTACGGAGTGAAGCAAGGAGGCTGTGAAGATAAACATCTGTGCATGTCTTGCTACTCATGCGCTTGTTGGTCTCATTCGTTCTATTGTCCATGCCTATCCATGAGTACTGCGCAAATGATGCATGCAGATGACCCTGCAGCCTGCATTGCTTGATTTGCTTAAGCCAGATGGTGGCCGCGCGACACGCACCAAGAACGATTCCCAAAACCGGGGGGAATGGAGTTGATGGTCATCTTGGGGTGGACACAGAAGACCGCTTTGCCCAACTCGCTTGAACCGCAGCAACGCAGACCTCGCGTCAATGCAGTGCCCATGTTACATCCACCACATGCATTCAACTACGAGTGCGGACGCAACAATGACAAAGATTTGCATAGCTCTCTCACATCTGTGAACATGCCTGATGTTCGAGCCTTGGCTGCCAAACACACGACTTATCGGTGCAGGTACAAGATGCATGGATACCGAGAACGGGTTAAGCAATCCAACTTTCGAGCCGTCGGCCCAATCCCATAAACCGACGACGCAGACTCAAAAAAGGCCAAATTACACAGCTATCGCGATTCCGCATTTGATGCTCTTGTTACAGGCCACCTTTGACACGATATTCGCGAACCTCTCCTACTAGCACGGCGAGAACCCTTACTTGAGCCTGCTTGTATTGCTATACTGCGGCACCCTTTTCCCTCCGAGCGGAGCATTCAGGGCCAAGGTACAGCCGTCTGCTCAGGCCGCGGCTGCGGGAACGGAGGAACAAAGGGACGAACTCCCTCCGCCGGGGGGTGTTCTCCTGGTACATTCTAGTCGCCGCACCTCACGTGCAGCCTCTCGGTCAGGTGGTCATCGTACACCTTCATGTCCAGCTTCCCGAGCTCTCGCACCTCAGCTTGCCGTTCAAGTGAGGTTCCGAGCAGCCGGTTCGGCTCGATCTTTTGAAGTATCTTTTGAGCCCTCTGGCGCCCCAACACCCTCCTACAATGACCCTACAATCGCCCCACATGCCTCAGCCAAAGAACGGGATGCTAGATCTGTTCTGCGACAGCTCTGACTCATCCGAGTCACAGAGTCGCGAAAGTCGTCCGCCTCCACCACGACGTCCCGCGCCGCAGCGTTCGTTTCCTGCACGACCAGCGCCTTCCTCAGATCGGGGGCTGTGAACTGCCTTCTGTTGAGCAGCCTGGCTTTTCCCTGGGTGCACATCTTGGATTCTCCGCTTGAGCTGCGTCCTGCCCCGCCGAGTTCTCTTGAACTTCTGTTGAGGCTAATAATGATGATAAGAAGAAGAAGAAGGAAACATAATAAATATACTAACAATTATAATCATAATCATAATCGTAATCATAATCATAATCATAATCATAGTCATACTCATAATCAGAATCATAATCATAATCATAATCATCCTAATAATGATGAGAATGATAATGATAATGAGAATGGTAAGGATAATGATAATGATAATGGTAATGATAATGATAATGATAATGAGAATGATAATCATAATCATAATGGTAATGATAATGGCAACAGCAATAGCAATAGCAATAGCAATAGCAATAGCAATAGCAGTAGCAGTAGCAGTAGCAGTAGCAGTAGCAGCAGCACCAGCAACAACAACAACAACAACAACAACAACAACAACAACAACAACAACAACAACAACAACAACAACAACAACAACAACAACAACAACGACAACAACGACAACCACAATAACAATAACAATAACAAGAACAATAGCAATAGCAATAGCAATAGCAATGACAATGACAATAACAATAACAATAACAATAATAATAGGAACAATAATAATAAGAAGAATATTAAGGAGAAGAAGGAAAAGAATAGTAATTATAACAATAAAAATGATGATAATAATAAACATAAGAATGAGAATAAGAATAAGAATAAGAATAGGAAAAAGAATAAGAATAATCAAATGACAATAGTGATAACAAAAACAATAACAAATCAGAATAAGAAGAAGAACAATCATGATAATTATAGTGTCACAATACAAATACTAATGATAATAGTAATAGCAATCGGAGTAATAAGAATAATCATATGATAAAAAAGTACCAATAATATTACTAGTACAATCATCATCATCATCATCACCATCATACTAATACCCAGAAGAGTAATTAATGATAACAACAAGAATAACCTGTACACTTGGAGCCCTGTTCGGGCAGAACGCAGCCCCTGCAGGAATGTAGCAAGGCCTGCCAGTTCGGGTTTCGGTTTAGAGTTTAGGGTTTAGGGTCTGGGGCTTAAGGGGAAAAGGGTTTAGGGTTCAGGGTGCAGGGTTCCCCGCTGCAACACCGCGAAGTCTGTGCAAGAGGAAAGAAGCGAACCCCCGCACAGACTGCGAAAAGTGGTAGCCATATGCCAGCCCCTCCACCGTAGGGTTTGGGGGCGAAACCCCAAGCACCCCAAGATGGCCCGAGCACCCTAAACCCTAAACCCTAAACCCTAAACCCTAAACCCTAAACCCTAAACTCCAAACGAAGGATGTTCGTCCGAGTCTCTCCTCTGGCAGTGTGACGCACGCCTGAGGCCTTGCAGAGGCCAGCAGGGGTGTGGTGACTAAAGGATACGTAATCCCATCCCCCCTAAGATTCAACCCCCCCTACCCCCTAATATGAAAATCCCCCCAATCGACTATAATATAACGATAATGGCGGGGGTATTTAGGGGGTAGGGGGGGATGCTTCAGGTCGAGGCGTCGTGCGGCGAGCGAAAAGAAGCTACGAAGCCACCAAGCATCAGGAGGATACGTGGCTTGAAGCCCCCTTGTAAACACTACCCCTCGCCTGGACGACTTCAGGAACAATCCCCACAAAACCTAAACCCTAAACCCTAAACCCTAAACCCTAAACCCTAAACCCTAATGTGAGAGTCCCATTTATAAATGGGGTGGTAATACTAAAATTCGCCGGGCCAGAGGGGTCCAGCCGAAGACTACTTTCCATTACGGGAGGTTTTCGGGCCGATGTATGTAAACAAGTCTATATAGGGGGGTGCGGTGATAATAATAAAGGGTGGTAATTCTCAAATTTTTCCGGCCTGGAATTGAAAATTTTAATGAGAATCGCTTAAGAGTTCCATTGCAGAGAAGACTTTTCAGCTGAGCTGGCTTGAAAGAGCTCCGAGGCTCAATCTTTAGAAGCCTTCAAGACAAAGCAAAGCAGACCCTGACAGCTGACCCCCCCCGAGACCCCCAGACCCCCAGACCCCCAGAATTGATTGTTGGCACCCCGTCTTTTTTTCCACCCCTCCAAACCCCGGGGACCAAAACAAGATTTGGGGGGGGGGTTTCTTAAAGGGACCCTAACATTAACCATGCATGGCCGCAGCCAGGGTGCGCCCAGAATCGCTCGTGCGACAAAATCCCACGAGAAGTGATGCCTGCCAGAGCCTGCACAGCGCTCCCCAAGGGGGTCGTCGACGCGTCTTCGGGGGGCTTTGGGGTTTAGGGTTTAGGGGTTTAGGGTTTAGGGCTTAGGGTTTAGGGCTTAGGGTTTAGGGTTTGGGTTTAGGGTTTAGGGTTTCGGGCTGCTCAAACCCAAAACCCGCGCCGGAAATGCAGCTTCCGAGCTTCCAAGCCTTTCACACCTGAACCCTCGGCCTTTCGAGGCGCGGGAACCCAAAAGCTGAGCCTCAAAGCTTTCGGACCTCGGCCACGACAGCCGGTGGTCGTCCGAAATCAGAAACCCAGTCCGAACGTCCGATCCCAGCTTGAAACTCCAAAACGAAAGGGCGCATCCAAAAGAAAAACAGGCACAAGCGGACTAAGCGCCCCAGGCCCTGTAGTATCGACTCGGCCACTAGCCTCCACGGTGCACTGGGCCTGGCACTTCCCCGTCTGCTCCTGGCCCGGATGGGTCTGATGCTATGCGCATGTTCCAGCTTGGCTCTGCCTCAGGGAGGTTTCAGGATGTGGCCCCTCCAGGGCTGATGCAACCGCTCGCAAGCTGTTGCAAACCTTGTGGGAATGTGAAGTCTTGCCCAAAGGGACTCATCTTATGTGCCGCACGACATGAGTCCTGTGTGCCAAGCTTCCAACGAAAATGCCAAGGCAGTTGCCATTGCATGTCACTTTTGACGTCATCTTCTTCCAGAGAAGATAGTCAACGCAGATACCACTGCCGTTTTCGCACCACTTGCTTCTTCAGGCGTGCTTGGAATGAGAGATGCCCTGCCTGGCGTCCAGTCTCAGAGTAAGCCTCCGATCACTTTATGTGTGCCGGGATATCCCGCTCCTTCGGGTGTTGTGCGTCGAGTGCCTCCGCACGATACTTTAAGGGTTGGGTTTTAGGGTTGCACCACCACGGATGGATGGGTCTGCATGTGGCGCCAACATTGAGTTCCGCTGCACCTGCTTTGGGGGGGACGAGGAAACCCTAAACCCTAATTCAACCCTAAGCCCCAAACCCGAAGCCCTAAACCCGAAACCTTGCGGCTGCAAATGCAGACTCAAACTGTCCCCACCCCCGACCACCCCTCGGCGTCCTTTCCGAAACACGTCGCGGCTTCCGTGCAGCACGGGTGTTCCAGGGTTCCCTTCGTCCCTTTCACCCTGTACCTGGCAGGCCGAGGCAGAAGATTCCACTTGCAGTGTTTCGGGTTTAGGGTTTAGGGTTTCGGGTTTGAGGTTTAGGGTTCAGGGTTCAAGCCTCAGAGGTGCCCCCACCCACCCCAAAACCGATTCTGAGGACAGGCCATGGCGCCCAAATCCCCCCTACGCCCTGCGTGTCACATAGCATCCCCACCACATCACCCGAAACCCTAAACCCTGAACCCTAAACCCTAAACCCTAAACCCTAAACCCTTCTCAAAAGCCGACAAGCCTGAGCCTCGGAGTTCGCCCCCGTGGGATCGCGTGAGCAGCTTACGATTGTTGAGCGCTTCGGCTGGACATGCCTGAACCCAGAGAGCCCAATACCCCTCGATTAAGGAAAATACCTTGAATCATAAAATTAAGGCCCCTAGACCTTAAGGTATATTCCTTAATTAAGGAATATACCCTTAATCATAAAAATAAGGCCCCTAGACCTTAAGATATATTCCTTAATTATGGGGTATTAGGTTTTTCATGCCCCGCGTTGCCGGAGGTGTCGGGGTCAGGCTTTGGAGGGATGTAGGATCCGTTGTAGCTCCGACGCCGAAAAGCTGGCAAAGCCCCTGTATATAGGGTTTAGGGTTTAGGGTTTAGGGTTTCGGGTTTCGGGTTAGGGGTAGATGTCGGCGCAGCGGCACGTGATCTCGAAGTTCTCGCAGAAAGCTTTCTTGACTTCCCTGTTGATGTCCTGCAACAGGACACGGAGCCCACGAAAGCTGGCATGAAGGCTTTACGGCACAGGGCTTGGGGCCTCGGGCTTCGTTTGAATCCGAAAGTCTAAAACCTAAACCCTAAACCCTAAACCCTAAACCCTAAACCCTAAACCCTCAACCCTAAGGACAGGCTGCTCTCACGAGTCCCTTTGGCGTCTTGTGCTGCTGGGCTGTGTCCGATTCCCACCGAGAATCGTCAGGTTTCCGAGTCCGAAACGCGTCAAAAACCACACACACACACACACACACACACACACACACACACACACACACACACACACACACACACACACACACACACACACACACACACACACACACACACACACACACACACCTTAAGCCTACCTACGGCAGTTAGCGATAGTTTGCTCGGTTCACACCCGTTTCAATGTCAAGATGCTTCAATCTCGACATCTCCATTTTCCAACATCCCAGCGTCGCGTGTGGCTTGTGGTGCAATGCCTGGGCTTAGCACTCGATACGGTCCTCGGCGGGATTCGGTTCCATGGACATGACCTGATTGACGGTCTCGGCATTCGAGCGCACCGCCACACCGGGCGTGGCTCCAAACCTGGGCCAGCATAATTTGGCCGCACTGGCCTAACTGCCAGTTCTAAACACATGCTAATACTCCAATCCCGCCCCTGAATCCCAACACCTGCAGACTTTCAAGCCGGCAAACCCCATGCTGGTTGCCCAGGACATACTGAAGCCCCGCTTCGGACCGGACACCAGGTAGATTTGCAGGGTGGCGGACGACGGACCCCCCGACAATTTCAGAGACTCTGCACGTCCCAAGATGATGAAGTTTCTTTAAATTCGCAGCTCGGTGTTGCACTCCCTGAAAAAGTTCGACTTCAAGCACACACGCCCTCGACCTCTAGATGTGTTGCTCTTCCACCTGTCAACCTCGAAGCAGATGTGTGAACGAACTGCCGAAACGAAGCTGCTGGGGCCGAAGAAGCACGGCATTTGCCGGACTCCTAGAAACATGCACCTCATCATCTCAAACCCGACTCAGCACATGCATGCTATGTGCAGGTTTGCGCAACACACCCCTGAACCCCAAACCCTAAATTGCAAGCTGCTGGGGCCGCAGCAGAATTGCGAAGACAACGGCAACTCGGAAGCTGCCCATGCTTCCGAGGGGCGAAAGGAGCAGCAGGTCCAGATCTGAGCACAAAATGCTGCTGCGGAAATGGTTGGCGGAGTCTTAAAAAAAAAATCGGCAGGCTGCGGAGATGCAGCCGTGCGCCGCTGTTATAAGCTTCTGCAACATCCACCCTCACGTGTCCGCCAGTGTCAGGCAAGCTGGTGAAACACCCCAGCCGACGCACGCCCGGCGCTTCCAAACCCAGCCCTTACCACCCAAACTGTGATCTGCTTTCTTTCAGACCTGCCTTGTCCTGTTGGCGAAAGGGACATAAAGCAACAAGCATACAGAGGGCTTGGGGCTTGGCTGACAGGCTTCGGCGTCAGTGTTTGAGTTAAACCAGGGCTTTCCGAAGAGGCAGAGGGAGGTTGAGGATCCATGACAGGCAAACGAGTTGAGGCCTTTGAACACACGCAAGGAGGGTTGAAGTCTCACGTCTTTGAGCCGTCTTGTTGATCCAGCATTTGTTGAATGCTGCTTTTCAGCGCTCTTCCTTGATGCCTCTGTAGGGAAAGCATCACTGAAGGACTTTTGAATCCTAATGACGCCTGCGGTTTGTAAGATCGTCGAATTTGAAACTCGTGAGTGCATGAAATATGAAACAAAGAAAGCCCTTGTTGCAAATGAGGATTCTGGATGCGCAAAATCTTCGACACTCTGCCTCCGAAACTTCTTACAAAACATTTCAGGGTAGTCATCCTGCGTGCATCGTGGCGAGGGTTTTGCGGTGGGTTTGCGCGATTCTTGATGTATCTACCACATATTCATAGACACATACAAGACATGGACATAGACATACATGGAAGCGGCCCTTTCCAAAACCTCCTAGCAGCCGCAAGAAGCCGAACCTCAACAGCTTCCCAAATGCCCTGCTCCCTGAGCCTCCATGAAGCACAACACCCCAAAGTTGAACATCCCACATCGCCCACAACACCAACCCGAACCCCCAAGTCACAGTGCAAGAAAGCAGGTTTGATGCCACCGCGTGAGCGCAACAAACACACCTTTCATGGCCGCAGCCTTGGAACCATTCGAAACAATGTGCTACGAGTACGGCCAGAAGCCACAACTCAACTTGCCCAGGCTGAAGCTGCTGAAGCTGCGACTCGCGCCACCTCGGAACTCTGGCCGCTCATTACAGGGCCCTGCCCCAGTCGATGTATATAAGCTTCCTCAATCGCACCTAAAAGACAGAGCATCCCACAACTTACAGCTTCTAAGAGGAGGACAGACCACTTCCCTCCCACTGCGACGAGTTGGTCGTCACAAGCTTTACTACGAGACACCGTGCGCAAAGGTTCGGAGGTTGCACGAGCCTGCCTGCGTCTGCTACAGCAAGGATGAAGTCAGCAAAGGCATCAGGACGAAGGCAGATGGGCTGACGACCATGGTTCGGCCACGCAGGTTGGCCCTGTCCCGGCCATGAAAACTTTTTGTTGAGCGCTCATTTACTTCTTGGGGTGTAGGAGGCAGCAGCTCGAAAAACGACAAGGGGGGGGGGGTACATCGTTACATAGCCTGCATTGCCCTGCCCCCGTGCTTTGCCCAACTCGCTTGAGCCGCAGCAATGTGGAGGCCTCACGTCTAAAACAGATGAGGAGCCCGCGGTATGTCCACCACATTCATGACCCACTATTGCTCATGTTGCGGCGTCGAACGGATCAACACGCTTCCTCGGGACCGCCCACATCTGACATGTCAACGTGATACATGATAAACATGGGACAAAATGGGACAACCTTGGCGTACGACTCCGCACGCATCGTGCAGGCTGTGCCCCAGCACCCGTGACACTCGGGCACGCAGGCTTCGCTGTACCACAACAGGCCTGCGACGCGCGAGGGAACTAAAGGCAACAAAACAGGAAAGCCACCTCAACTTGAGCCTCTCCCTTCACCAAAGTGTGTCCATGTCCTCCTCAGACAGGGTCACCACCTTCCAATCATCCTGGGCTTCGCAGTGATCGGATGGCGTCGCGGCCACTTCCTGCTGAGGGGCCCTGGCCGCCGGGGTCGGGCACGGCGCCCAGTCCGTATCGGGAGGAGGCAGGGCCTTCATTTTGGTCACGATTTCATCCTGCAGGGGCTTGAGCTGCTCATCGAAGAACTGCGCATCGTCGATGGCCTTGCAGATTGTCGAGCGCAAGCTCTCCAAGATCCGGCTGCACTCTTGGTCGTCCTCCTCACTCAAGAACTCCTCCATGCGGTTCACCAGCCGCTCATGTTGTTTCAAGGCACCTTCCATGGATGCGAACATGCCATGGTCCTCCATGCCCTGCGCGCCCAGCAACTCTGGAAACCGTTGCATGTGATCCCGCAAGGAGCCAATCTGCTGAAGGTCCAAGCCTCCGAACTTGTCCCGCAACTCCTGGCACTGCGTCTTCAGCTCGGCAAGGCTCTGCCTGGCGCAGCGCGTCTTCTGGGCTGCGTGCGCCAGCGTCTCCCTTGCCAGGTTCAGCTGCCCCTCTACCTTGATAAACTCGCCCTTTGCAGCCGCTGCCTCCTCCGTCGCAGTCTGCAGATTCTGCTTCTGACTGCCCAAGTCCTGTCGGGCGGCTTTGGCAATGCTCTTGAAGCGCTCTGCACGCCACTTGGCCACGTCGCCCCTGTTGTCTACCCAGTCTGTGTACCACCGACCGCCGCGCCAGCTCCTCTTCATGTACTCGATGTTCATGGTCTCGGCTGCCTCGACCGTCTTCTGGGAAGCCATCCTATCGACCTCGGCGGCACGCTCCTGCAACAAAGACAACGAGCCCTTCTCATTTGCGGCGATGCTTTCATAAACCAGCTTCTTGCAGTGGAGCTCCTCCCTCTTCCCGCTGAGCTCGGCCACTGCCTCCGCTGCCTTCATCTCCTCTGCCTGGGCCGCAGTGAGCTCCCCGCTGCGCTTGTCCAACTCCGCCAGCAAGGATTCACACTGCGCTGAGCCGCCGAACTGACCCAAGAGCTCCATGACGGCATGCTGCATCTTCTGCTCCTGCCCATGCCATTTCACCATTTGGTTAGCGAAGCTCTTGCACTCCTCGATCTTCTTCTGCGCCGATACGCGGTACTCAGTCAGCATCTTCAGATTCTTGGTGGTGGCCCTGAAGTTCTTCTTCATGCCCTTCACGCTCAAGTTCCCTTGTCCTGTCTCCCACATCACCTGCAGCTCCATCAAGGTGTTCTTCTCCAGCTGGTAGAAGGTGCCCACCACCTGACCCACGGCACAGCCCACGTCGAACATCCACTTGCGCTGCGCGGTGACCATCTGCATGGCTTCGACGGAGGACTTGCCTTCAGGCGGCAGGTAATGCGCGATGTCGTGCAGGGCCTTGTAGAAGCTGGTAGTGCGATTTGCAAAACTCAACACTGTGCAGAACCCCAAGCCATACTTCTGGTGCTCGACAATGGAGTTCGAAGCCTGCACTTGAGTCTGCAACTCTTGGCAGCTGGGATGTTCGTCAGAGCCTCCTTCTTCGCCGGGAGCGGGGTTGGCGTAGCCCACCATTCTCTTCACAGCGTCCATGGTCTCACGCTACACTGGGCGGGAAATCTAGCAGGCTGTTGCTGGATGGCTGCGCTGGACTAGGGCAGAACAGGTCTGCACATGAGATCATGAGACCTTGCACCTGTTGCTCAAACCCATAAAACCAGCTGTCGTGGCCGGCCTTCTTTCAAGTTGTTTGCCGCACAAGGAGCTTCAAACGTCAGGCACTACAAGCTACAAGAGGCTCCGCTCTCAAGCAACAGAGCATAACTGACACATGCGCCGAAAACAACATGAAACCATTGACCAGCAGCTACCAGCATCGCCAGTCGGAACAGCTGCATGGCTACTGCCGGCATCTCTAGGTCAGCAAGGACCAGAATGACTGGAACAAAGTGATATTGTGAAACCACTGTTTGCGCATGGCCATCAGCGCCAACTTAATCAAGCAAGCGCCGAAGGCAACCAGGCACATGCAAACTTTCTGAGACCGAAACCTGGCAGCCGAAACCATCCGCATCTGCAGCAAGGCTTTGTCAGTGCCAGGCAAAGCCAGACCATGTGCCGCTTGGACGATTGCTCGCACAAGCTCGCCAGGTTCAGAGAGGCCGTTGTACTCCAGCAGCCGCGTTCTTACGCGGGCAAGTGCCATCATGTACCCGTGCAAGCAGCTCATCTCCCAGTCATCTCGCAGCCTCCTCAAGCGCAAGTTCTCCTAAGCCGCTGCGTTCTTGCCAGCTGCCAGCATCCCAGGCTGAAAAAAGGAAACGTGACAAGCAGAAAAGACCACGGAACCATGAGTGAGCCAAGGAGCATCTGGCACTGTTCTCCAAGGGGAGGAAGTCGCTGAGCGCTGGCACCGTGAAATTTCGGCCAGGTGCGAATCAAGCAGCTCCAGCAGCCTTGGTTTTGAGAAACACTCCGCCCTCCGCCAAGCACAGTACCCACAACGGCTTTGAGTCAATCTCTGCTAAACCCTAAACCTTGCTGCCACAGAACAACGGAGCCCTGGTTGAACTGGGTGAGATGCGCTCGGGGCATGAACGGTCACACAATAGGGCCCAGGACGCTTTAGGGTTCAGGGTCCAAAGTTCATGATGACCAAAGTCCTGGTAATGACCAGGCGCGGCTCTTGCACTTGTGCACCAGAAGGGTTGAAATGATGGGCCTTTCCGAGTCTACAGTAAGCTGCGTTGAGTTTAGCATCTGGGGGATGGCCTGCAGGCTTGACCTTTGTCTTGGCTTGGAGGTTTCAGAGTCTGCAATGCCCCAGGCCTCCACCTCCTCTAGAACCCTAAACTCTAAACCCTCAACCTTAAACCCTGAACCCTAATGGTGACTTAGCTTCTTGGGATGGGGCCCTGTGTCGGGTTCCACACAGCGCTCTCAACGCCACGGAGCTTCAGCGCTTATAGGGCTGAACCACGCTTGGTTTGAAGCTGGTAAACTCCGCACGTCAACTGATAAACTCCGCATGTGGGGCTTTGGGCTTTGAAGGCATCATTCTGAAAAAAAAAAAACGTTGGGGACTTAGTAACTACTAGGATTGGCAGTCGGAGGACTGCGTCGCGGCAGAGAACAAGGAGGACGTTCAGGGTCGAGCGTTCTTGAAGATTGCAAGGACGTGTCCTTTTAAATCGAGGGCTCGGAAGTCTCGCCCAATCGCACAGTCCAACAGCTCGAGTTTTTGGAGATGGATGCGTGGGCTTTTTCAGAAACGGAACGCGGAAAACGCCGAGAGAGTGTGTTGCGTACATGCTCCCAAACACACCTGCACGTTCTTTGCAGTTCGCATAATCCCTAGCATAATCCCTTGCACCTGCCAGTGAATTCAAGCACTCCTGTCCGCAGAGCGCGGCAAACGATGGTGTGAAGCCTTGCTTACGTGCTTGGAGGTTCATGGGTAGTTTTTGGTAGGGCTATACGAATTGTAGGGTACATATAACAATGGATTCTGCTGCTGCTTCCTGATCCGGCTGCTTTTTGAGCCACTTCTGTTCGGACACCGTCAAAAACAATGGATTCAAAGCAGGGTGCTTCCACAAGCATTCGTTGAAGAGTTGGAAGGCACACAGCTACAGAAGTTTGAGGGGTTTCTCTGGCACAACTCGAAAAAAGCGGCGCATGCTTCTCTTGCTGAGTCAAGAGTACTCTGTCCAAGGAACTCCTTTCGCAGCCGCTCCGCATTCCCATGGAGACAGGCACCTACCAAAGCTCGCAAGGCATGTCACAACTGGCTTGGGAAGAAACACCGGCATGCATGCGGGCAAGCTACACTCCAACAATTGGCTCCAACACTGCTGGAAGCCAGCACGGAGTGGGTCAGCCGCCATGCCGCAAGAGTGGCCGGACCCCAAACATCAGTACTGAGTGGCAAACTGAACAGGCATGGATGTTCACATAGTACGTAGCATGTATTGCCCTGCAGCGCGGCGCGCCATGCTTTGCCGGACTCGCTTGAACTATCTTGAACCCGCACCGACGCAAAGGCTAGGAGACATGCAGTGCCAACGTCATCACCGCCACGTTGCCCACGCTTGCTCCGAACATTTTGCGACGTCGGCCCGAACGACAGTAGCAGCCCGAGACCGCCAACATCTGACATGTCAACGTGATACATGGAAACATGATAAACATGGGACAAAATGGGACAACAACCTTGGCGTACGACTTCGCACGCATCGTGCAGGCTGTGCCCCGACACCCGTGACACTCGGGCACGCAGGCTGCGCTGTACCATAACAGGCCTGCGACGCCCGAGGGAACTAAAGGCAACAAAACAGGAAAGCCACCTCAACTTGAGCCTCTCCCTTCACCAAAGTGTGTCCATGTCCTCCTCAGACAGGGTCACCACCTTCCAATCATCCTGGGCTTCGCAGTGATCGGATGGCGTCGCGGCCACTTCCTGCTGAGGGGCCCTGGCCGCCGGGGTCGGGCACGGCGCCCAGTCCGTATCGGGAGGAGGCAGGGCCTTCATTTTGGTCACGATTTCATCCTGCAGGGGCTTGAGCTGCTCATCGAAGAACTGCGCATCGTCGATGGCCTTGCAGATTGTCGAGCGCAAGCTCTCCAAGATCCGGCTGCACTCTTGGTCGTCCTCCTCACTCAAGAACTCCTCCATGCGGTTCACCAGCCGCTCATGTTGTTTCAAGGCACCTTCCATGGATGCGAACATGCCATGGTCCTCCATGCCCTGCGCGCCCAGCAACTCTGGAAACCGTTGCATGTGATCCCGCAAGGAGCCAATCTGCTGAAGGTCCAAGCCTCCGAACTTGTCCCGCAACTCCTGGCACTGCGTCTTCAGCTCGGCAAGGCTCTGCCTGGCGCAGCGCGTCTTCTGGGCTGCGTGCGCAAGCGTCTCCCTTGCCAGGTTCAGCTGCCCCTCTACCTTGATAAACTCGCCCTTTGCAGCCGCTGCCTCCTCCGTCGCGGTCTGCAGATTCTGCTTCTGACTGCCCAAGTCCTGTCGGGCGGCTTTGGCAATGCTCTTGAAGCGCTCTGCACGCCACTTGGCCACGTCGCCCCTGTTGTCTACCCAGTCTGTGTACCACCGACCGCCGCGCCAGCTCCTCTTCATGTGCTTGATGTTCATGGTCTCGGCTGCCTCGACCGTCTTCTGGGAAGCCATCCTATCGACCTCGGCGGCACGCTCCTGCAACACAGACAACGAGCCCTTCTCATTTGCGGCGATGCTTTCATAAACCAGCTTCTTGCAGTGGAGCTCCTCCCTCTTCCCGCTGAGCTCGGCCACTGCCTCCGCTGCCTTCATCTCCTCTGCCTGGGCCGCAGTGAGCTCCCCGCTGCGCTTGTCCAACTCCGCCAGCAAGGATTCACACTGCGCTGAGCCGCCGAACTGACCCAAGAGCTCCATGACGGCATGCTGCATCTTCTGCTCTTGCCCATGCCATTTCACCATTTGGTTAGCGAAGCTCTTGCACTCCTCGATCTTCTTCTGCGCCGATACGCGGTACTCAGTCAGCATCTTCAGATTCTTGGTGGTGGCCCTGAAGTTCTTCTTCATGCCCTTCACGCTCAAGTTCCCTTGTCCTGTCTCCCACATCACCTGCAGCTCCATCAAGGTGTTCTTCTCCAGCTGGTAGAAGGTGCCCACCACCTGACCCACGGCACAGCCCACGTCGAACATCCACTTGCGCTGCGCGGTGACCATCTGCATGGCTTCAACGGAGGACTTGCCTTCAGGCGGCAGGTAGTGCGCGATGTCGTGCAGGGCCTTGTAGAAGCTGGTAGTGCGATTTGCAAAACTCAACACTGTGCAGAACCCCAAGCCATACTTCTGGTGCTCGACAATGGAGTTCGAAGCCTGCACTTGAGTCTGCAACTCTTGGCAGCTGGGATGTTCGTCAGAGCCTCCTTCTTCGCCGGGAGCGGGGTTGGCGTAGCCCACCATTCTCTTCACAGCGTCCATGGTCTCACGCTACACTGGGCGGGAAATTTAGCAGGCTGTTGCTGGATGGCTGCGCTGGATTAGGGCAGAACAGGTCTGCGCATGGGATCATGAGACCTTGCACCTGTTGCGCAGACCCATAAAACCAGCTGTCGTGGCCGGCCTTCTTTCAAGTTGTTTGCCGCACAAGGAGCTTCAAACGTCAGCCACTACAAGCTACAAGAGGCTCCGCTCTCAAGCAACAGAGCATAACTGACACATGCGCCGAAAACAACATGAAACCATTGACCAGCAGCTACCAGCATCGCCAGTCGGAACAGCTGCATGGCTACTGCCGGCATCTCTAGGTCAGCAAGGACCAGAATGACTGGAACAAAGTGATACTATGAAACCACTGTTTGCGCATGGCCATCAGCGCCAACTTAATCAAGCAAGCGCCGAAGGCAACCAGGCACATGCAAACTTTCTGAGACCGAAACCTGGCAGCCGAAACCATCCGCGTATGCAGCAAGGCTTTGTCAGTGCCAGGCAAAGCCAGACCATGTGCAGCTTGGACGATTGCTCGCATAAGCTCGCCAGGTTCAGAGAGGCCGTTGTACTCCAGCAGCCGAGTTCTTACGCGGGCAAGTGCCATCATGTACCCGTGCAAGCAGCTCATCTCCCAGTCATCTCGCAGCCTCCTCAAGCGCAAGTTCTCCTAAGCCGCTGCGTTCTTGCCAGCTGCCAGCATCCCAGGCTGAAAAAAGGAAACGTGACAAGCAGAAAAGACCACGGAACCATGAGTGAGCCAAGGAGCATCTGGCACTGTTCTCCAAGGGGAGGAAGTCGCTGAGCGCTGGCACCGTGAAATTTCGGCCAGGTGCGAATCAAGCAGCTCCAGCAGCCTTGGTTTTGAGAAACACTCCGCCCTCCGCCAAGCACAGTACCCACAACGGCTTTGAGTCAATCTCTGCTAAACCCTAAACCTTGCTGCCACAGAACAACGGAGCCCTGGTTGAACTGGGTGAGATGCGCTCGGGGCATGAACGGTCACACAATAGGGCCCAGGACGCTTTAGGGTTCAGGGTCCAAAGTTCATGATGACCAAAGTCCTGGTAATGACCAGGCGCGGCTCTTGCACTTGTGCACCAGAAGGGTTGAAATGATGAGCCTTTCCGAGTCTACAGTAAGCTGCGTTGAGTTTAGCATCTGGGGGATGGCCCGCAGGCTTGACCTTTGTCTTGGCTTGGAGGTTTCAGAGTCTGCAATGCTCCAGGCCTCCACCTCCTCTAGAACCCTAAACTCTAAACCCTCAACCTTAAACCCTGAACCCTAATGGTGACTTAGCTTCTTGGGATGGGGCCCTGTGTCGGGTTCCACACAGCGCTCTCAACGCCACGGAGCTTCAGCGCTTATAGGGCTGAACCACGCTTGGTTTGAAGCTGGTAAACTCCGCACGTCAACTGATAAACTCCGCATGTGGGGCTTTGGGCTTTGAAGGCATCATTCTGAAAAAAAAACGTTGGGGACTTAGTAACTACTAGGATTGGCAGTCGGAGGACTGCGTCGCGGCAGAGAACAAGGAGGACGTTCAGGGTCGAGCGTTCTTGAAGATTGCAAGGACGTGTCCTTTTAAATCGAGGGCTCGGAAGTCTCGCCCAATCGCACAGTCCAACAGCTCGAGTTTTTGGAGATGGATGCGTGGGCTTTTTCAGAAACGGAACGCGGAAAACGCCGAGAGAGTGTGTTGCGTACATGCTCCCAAACACACCTGCACGTTCTTTGCAGTTCGCTTCTGAGAGCTAGCATAATCCCTAGCATAATCCCTTGCACCTGCCAGTGAAATCAGGCACTCCTGTCCGCAGAGCGCGGCAAACGATGGTGTGAAGCCCTTGTTTACGTGCTTGGAGGTTCATGGATAGTTATTGGTAGGGCTATACGAATTGTAGGGTACATATAACAATGTTTACAAGCACCCATGAAACCTCCAAGCGCTCTCCCAGCGCTGCTTCTGCTGCTGCTTCCTGATCCGGCTGCTTTTTGAGCCACTTCTGCTCGGACACCGTCAAAAACAATGGATTCAAAGCAGGGTGCTTCCACAAGCATTCGTTGAACAGTTGGAAGGCACACAGCTACAGAAGTTTGAGGGGTTTCTCTGGCACAACTCGAAAAAAGCGGCGCATGCTTCTCTTGCTGAGTCAAGAGTACTCTGTCCAAGGAACTCCTTTCGCAGCCGCTCCGCATTCCCATGGAGACAGGCACCTACCAAGGCTCGCAAGGCATGTCACAACTGGCTTGGGAAGAAACACCGGCATGCATGCGGGCAAGCTACACTCCAACAATTGGCTCCAACACTGCTGGAAGCCAGCACGGAGTGGGTCAGCCGCCATGCCGCAAGAGTGGCCGGACCCCAAACATCAGTACTGAGTGGCAAACTGAACAGGCATGGATGTTCACATAGTACGTAGCATGTATTGCCCTGCAGCGCGGCGCGCCATGCTTTGCCGGACTCGCTTGAACTATCTTGAACCCGCACCGATGCAAAGGCTAGGAGACATGCAGTGCCAACGTCATCACCGCCACGTTGCCCACGCTTGCTCCGAACATTTTGCGACGTCGGCCCGAACGACAGTAGCAGCCCGAGACCGCCAACATCTGACATGTCAACGTGATACATGGAAACATGATAAACATGGGACAAAATGGGACAACAACCTTGGCGTACGACTTCGCACGCATCGTGCAGGCTGTGCCCCGACACCCGTGACACTCGGGCACGCAGGCTGCGCTGTACCACAACAGGCCTGCGACGCCCGAGGGAACTAAAGGCAACAAAACAGGAAAGCCACCTCAACTTGGGCCTCTCCACTTCACCAAAGTGTGTCCATGTCCTCCTCAGACAGGGTCACCACCTTCCAATCATCCTGGGCTTCGCCGTGATCGGATGGC